GATGAGTGAGCGCTGTTGCTAGAAGTTTGCTTAGAGCATTGTCGCTGGGTGCGCAACAGACGCGCGGGGAGAGCCGCGGCCTTGGGAAATGCCGTGGATGGATTCATGGATAGCAGTAGCCGAACAACGGTTGAACGGCGGTCGTGGTTGCTACACTAAATGGAGATAGAGATGCGATGGGAAATAATCAAGAAAAAGAATGACAACTCGAACAAGGGAAAGAATGGTTTTAGAGAACCAGATGCTCCAAAATAAGGTAAGCTACTCGCCGGATCACAGAAGCTTCGAGTTCTTTTGGCTGAGAGAAGTTTATCGGAAAAACGTGTGGCCGGACGATGATGAAAGAGTTGCTTACCGAAGCAATAATGGGATCCATGCTCCGACTACGGAATTCTAGCTTCTACTCTACCCATTTGTATCTAATACTTGTTGCTGTCTTTTTGGAGCTGTACCACGGGCTGTCACGGTTTTTTACTGTATCCTCTCTTATCTCCTTCACCCCATTGCCTGGGCGTCCATTTCATACTTAAGGAGCATGCTCCGCGGCCAAACCCTCCCCTGGAGAGCTGTACTCCATCAAACGCCCAGACCACTTCTCCGGCGGCCGCTTCTTGCTTCGCCGAGATATAATGCCGCTTTTCGATCAACACTAACTTCGGTCCACCGTTGTGACTCTTTTCCCTCGTCTTCCCGTGCCTTCTCTGTGAGCTCCATTCGGCGGAGAGAGAAACCCCCACCAGAGGACTCCAAAGAAGAATCGGAAGAGAAGGAAAAGCGCGAAACCAGTCACGATGATAAGCTGACGGAAAGAGCTCCTGAATCACGGAGGAAGGGAATCGACTCAGGGAAAAATGTCCCTTCCGCAGATCAGGTAGCTCCTGCGCGGAGAAAAGACCGATCGTCCGATAAAGAGCGTGGAGTGGAAGAGGAAGTAAATAAAGAAGCCAACGCATCCGATGGCAAGGGGAACTCGAATGATGCGCCTTCGCCCATCCCACCAAATGATGGCCCAGCCGACTCCAAACCCAGCGGCGCAAGCAGCGGTGGTAATAGCGGCAATGACGATAGTGGGAAGAAGGGCAAGAAGGTCTCAGGAGAAAAGGCCTTACAAAAGCCAGCAGTTCCGGACGTGTACCCCCAGGTGATGGCAATTCCCATCGCGAAACGCCCGTTGTTCCCTGGTTTTTACAAAGCAATCACAATTCGCGACCCGAATGTCGCCGTTGCGATCCAAGATATGATGAAACGGGGTCAACCCTATGTCGGAGCGTTCTTATTCAAGGATGACAACGCCGATGGTGACGTGATTGAGAAATTGGACGACGTTTACGACACTGGAGTTTTCGCTCAAATTACCGCTGCATACCCTCTCCGTGGGGAGGCTGGTGGTGTAACGGCGGTTCTCTACCCCCACCGGCGTATCAAGATCTCATCGCTGCTGCCCCCTGGAGAGAGCACCAAGACCGCTACACCTCCACCCGCACCTATACCAGAAGACAAAACGACTGAAAAGCGAGGCGATGTAGTGGCCAGCTTTGAAGAAAACGTACCCGAGTTAGCTGCCAAAGACCATTACGAACCGACATCCTTCTTGAAAAAACACCCTGTCAGCCTTGTCAACGTGGAGAACTTGATCGAAGAGCCATTCGATAAGAAAAACCCAATCATTCGCGCGGTTACCAGTGAAATTGTCAATGTGTGCAAAGAGATTGCCACGTTAAATCCTTTGTTCCGCGATCAAATCTCGGCGTTTTATACAGATCAATTCCCAGGAAACCTCAGCGACGAACCGGCCAAATTGGCTGATTTCGCTGCCGCTGTATCTGCCGGTGAGCTCCACGAGATGCAAGAAGTTCTAGAGACAATGAACATCGAGGAGCGTCTCCCTAAGTCGCTTGTCGTGCTGAAGAAGGAATTGATGAACGCTCAACTGCAATCCAAGATCACCAAAGATGTCGAGGCCAAGATCCAGAAACGCCAGCGGGAGTACTGGTTGATGGAGCAAATGAAGGGCATCAAGAGAGAACTTGGCATCGAGTCTGATGGGAAAGACAAGCTTGTCGAGAAGTTCAAGGAGAAGGCTGAAAAACTTGCCATGCCTGAGGTCGTCAAGAAGGTTTTCGACGAGGAGATAAACAAGCTAGCACATCTCGAGCCTGCTGCATCCGAGTTCAATGTCACTCGTAACTATCTGGACTGGCTAACCCAAATTCCTTGGGGCCAGAAGAGCGTGGAAAACTTTGGCGTCAAAAACGCAGTCAGTGTCCTCGACGAGGACCATTACGGGTTGAAAGATGTCAAGGATCGGATTCTTGAATTCATCGCTGTCGGCAAGCTTCGTGGAACAGTCGAAGGAAAAATTCTTTGCCTCGTTGGCCCACCCGGTGTTGGAAAGACCAGTATCGGCAAATCGATAGCTCGCGCTCTGAACAGACAATATTACCGATTCTCCGTTGGTGGTTTGACCGACGTGGCAGAGATCAAGGGCCACCGACGGACTTACGTCGGTGCCCTCCCTGGACGCATTATCCAAGCTCTCAAGAAGTGTCAAACCGAGAACCCTCTAATCTTGATCGACGAGGTTGACAAAATAGGGCGTGGCCACCAGGGCGATCCGTCCTCTGCTTTGCTCGAACTTCTCGATCCCGAACAAAACAGCTCGTTCTTAGACCACTACATGGATGTTCCTGTGGATCTTTCCAAGGTCCTCTTCGTCTGTACAGCCAACGTGACCGACACTATTCCTCGGCCCTTGCTGGATCGTATGGAACTCATCGAATTGTCTGGCTACGTGGCAGACGAGAAGATGGCCATTGCTGAGAGGTACCTCGCCCCCGCCGCTCGGGAGCTGACTGGCTTGAAAGATGTGGATGTGAACCTTGAACGGGATGCTATCGAGGAGCTGATCAAGTCGTACTGCCGTGAGAGCGGTGTCCGTAACCTGAAGAAGCAAATCGAAAAGGTCTACCGGAAGGCAGCATTCAAGATTGTTCAAGACCTAGGCGAAGATGTGATGTCTGAAGAGGCGGCACTGACCGAAGCAGGCAAAGTTGCTCAGGAAGAGTCAAAGGAGAAAGAGCCAGCGGATCCTGCACAAGTTCCGATTGAGCCAGAGAAGTCAACCACAGAGATACCTCGACTAGCTCTCAAGGTCCCCGACAGTGTGCATCTCAGCATCGGCAAGGAAACTTTGAAGGACTATGTTGGACCTCCTGTTTTTACCGCCGACCGCCTGTACGACCAGTTCCCTCCTGGTGTCACCATGGGTCTTGCATGGACTAGCATGGGTGGAGCGGCTCTGTACGTTGAATGTATTCTGGAGAATGCATTGAATCACAACTCGCGCCCGGGACTTGAAATCACCGGCAACCTGCAAAACGTCATGAAGGAGTCTACTCACATTGCGTACTCCTTCGCTAAGTCTGTTATGGCGCGGCAATTCCCCGAGAATCAGTTCTTCGAAAAAGCGAAGGTCCACTTGCACTGCCCTGAAGGCGCTGTTCCAAAGGATGGTACGTGAAACTTATATGCGTTGGTAAACAACAAATCGGCGGCTAACAATTCCTGCAGGACCCTCTGCCGGTATCACCATGGCTAGCGCCTTGTTATCTTTAGCTCTTAATCACTCACTTGAGCCAACCGTTGCCATGACTGGAGAGTTGACTGTGACTGGTAAGGTTCTGCGTATTGGAGGCTTGAGAGAGAAGACTGTGGCTGCTCGTCGAGCTGGTGCCACAAAGATCCTCTTCCCTGCGGACAACACATCCGACTGGCTTGAGCTACCTGAGGTGAGTCATCAATTCATCCAATCCTAGTGTGTGTTTATCTTGGCTGACTGTTGTGTCTAGAACATCAAGGAGGGTATTGAAGGCCACCCGGTGAACTGGTACTCCGAGGTGTTTGACCTTCTCTTCCCCAGTCTTGACCAGGAGGCTGCGCGTACAATCTGGCAAAAGGCACTGGCCAAGCCCAATAAGGGTAGTCAGGAGGCTGATGAAGAGTAACATGCTGATACCTTTTTGGTTTGGGGGTCCCCTTTGGGTCTTTGGGTAATGTCGTATATACCTGTTTTGTTTAACGTTGTATAGTTTTTGTGTGATTTATTGTTACAATGGCGTCTTTGTCTTCCGACACGGAATGCATGGTTGGAGTTGAAGGACTGTTAGTAGACCTTTTTGTTCCCATGCCAGATGTATGGACTAGAGCAAGAGCCAAAAAAAAAGATTACTCCACTCAAAACAGGAGCTGTTTTTAGTAAGGCGCATGTATAGCATATAATTATATTGCGAACGACTACGCAAAGATTATGCAAAGACTCACAGGTAATTCGTATATCGAGTAACATTAATGTATCAAATTTTAGGGCTGCTGTCGTGTCATAAAGATTGACGCCAAATAAACAGGGCGTGAACGGAGCCCCCTATCAGGCATATGGGTCAGGCCGCAACGCGTCCTCGAATTTTGATCTGTGCGCCGTTCGATGAATCATATCTTTGTTCTCTATTTTTTCTGCCTCACCCTTGTGTCCCTTAGAAGGGCTTTTGATTGATCTCCTGCAAGGTCCTTTTGCCTCCAGACATTTGAAGCCTTGCAGCGGAAGCATCTGATCACCGCTATCAAGCAGCTGCAGGCGATTCCTTAGAAGAGAAATTTAGAGAAGGAAAAAAAAAAAAAGAAAACTTATACCTAAAAAATTTCATCTTGACCGACATCTTTCTCCTTCTTTTGCACCCGCCCTTTTACTTTATGAGCTTGTGCTGGGCCGGTCTCCCAGCCTCGCCCATTGCAGCCTGACGTTGTGCGACACTTGTACGTTGGACCTCGACGTGAACAATTCAACTCTTCAAACTCGAAAGGAGACTACCTGAAACTGGTGGGACGAATATAGTGTCAGTGTGTCAGTGCGACGCCAAAATTCCCTGTCTCATTTCTTATGGACATCGGAGATCCGGTCAGCAGGGTGTTCGAGTCGTTCCTTGCACGACAGAGCGGCTTGCCGTATGGCCATCTCTGTTCCCAAATCCTGTAGCCCGACGCGGCCGGCTTTTCTAGACGACAAAGACGACAATCCGCCAAGGCAGAGCATGTGGCACCGGTTGGGTTTGCGAAAATTATGGCAGGGCCGCGATGATCACCGAGACACGACTTCCGGGGAGAGTCAAGACGAAATTTCTCCCCGCCCTTCTTCTGACAACTCGCGCGCTAAGCAAGACAACTTGACCCGTCGACTCTCGCGAAAAGTTGGCGTCGGTCTACCACGAACTACTCACTTTAATCGGCAGAGCTCTGATCTCGAGCGACTGACTCCTCGGGAACCAGATATCCGCCGTGCCCTCTCCGCCGACCGTCGCCCTTTAAGTTCCCCGAAAAGCAGGTCTCCACCACCAACCGTGGGCCCCAGAAAGTCCGCGCCCGAGGTTCAGTGGCTCGGCCCGACACCTACAACCACGGTCGATGACGCCCCCGAACCAGAATCCGAACCGAACGATGCCCACGAGATCAACGATATTTCTGAAAGCTCGAACCCCCATTCCGAAATAACGACGGATAATTTCGACGTAACGGAGGATGATGATTACTCAATGGATTTGGATATGGAGCTGGAACAACGATGGATTTTGAACCTAAGCATGCACTTCCGAGATGGGTCGGAGCGGGAGAAATTCTTCGTGACGTACGCAGAGACACCGAACCGATGGCGCCGAGTGACGATTTCCTGCGATTATCACGACGCACAACCGTATTCACTAGAGCGGGAACTGAAGGAACTGCGGTACCAGCGCGACAAGTGTGCGCGGATCTACGAATCCATTCGCGAGTCCCTTCTTGCGATCCAATTCTATGAAGGTGTCACGAATCTCAGGCTAGAGACGAGCGATGGCCGCTTACACGTTCATGTGACGGAGGACGTAAACGAAACAATCCCATACCCGCCCATCTCCTGTATCAGGCATTTGGTCAACGCTCCTATCATCCCCGAAGACTCGTTGCACTTCGAATCTCATTTATCCGGATTTGTTTACAAAATAAACATGGATGGGCGTTTCTATATCAAGAAAGAGATACCTGGTCCCGATACCGTGGACGAGTTCCTCTATGAGATTAACGCTTTGCATGCGCTGAAAGACCGCCCAAGCGTGATCCAGGTGGAAGGAATCGTGGTAGATGAATGGCGAGGTGTCGTCAAGGGCTTGCTAATTACCTATGCAGAAAAGGGCGCACTGGTTGACATTCTCTACGAGCAACGCGGAAGAACGAGCTTTGCACGACGCGAGCGATGGGCAAAGCAGATTGTCCAGGGCCTCTGCGAGATTCACGAATCGGGCTACGTGCAGGGCGATTTCACACTCGCGAATATTGTGGTCGACGCAGACGACAATGCCAAAATTATTGACATCAACCGCAGAGGGTGCCCAGTGGGGTGGGAGCCCCCGGAAATTGCCGCTATGATTGAAAGCAACCAGCGCATCTCCATGTACATTGGAGTCAAAACTGATCTCTTCCAACTGGGTATGACGCTGTGGGCATTGGCGATGGAGGAGGACGAACCTGAACGACAACCGCGACCTCTTCGACTAGGCGATGACGTGAAAATTCCAGAATATTACCGACAGATAGTGGCCATCTGTTTAAGCCCGACTCCGCGACATAGGCTCTCAGCGAAGGATCTTCTCTCTAAGTTCCCCCCACTACCGGAGGCACGGGTATCAACACCTATTCAGTCACTGGAGACCATTGCCAATGATTCTAGGCATTTGCCATTTAGCAACTGGGCTCTGCCTCAGCCTTCTGAACTTGGCCAGACATTTCCAAAGGGTATGATGCAACAAGATAACCACGATTACCCTCAAAAGGAGTTTTCGGGAAATTCCCATGATGAGATGGCACACCCCATTTTCTCTGAAAGCCACGACCTCGTCAAGCAATCAACAATAACTCTAGCAGAACTCAATGGAGACATGGGATTCTCATCTAAGCCATCTTCTTCCTCTACTTTGAATCACCACGAATCTCACAACCATTACGAGTACATTGAGTTTCCCCGCCACTTTGATGATGGCTCGTCGCCCTACCACTCTGACAGTCAGAGACCGGAAGATACTCTAGTTTCTCAGATAAGATCAATGGGCAATGGCTTTCACAGCCACACATTGGAACCACCAGTTTTCTCGAATAAATCTAACTCTCTCGAAACTGCCCCCATGAACAATCAGCAAGAGACACCTGACCAACCGATCTATAACGATTCCCGTGCTTTAGTCAGCACTGAAATTACTGCGCCTCCACTCCCCGAGGTCAGCATATCTCTTGTTGAGTCACAGGATCAGGAGGCTCTGAATCGACCATTTCCAAAGCCTGCCAACGACGAGGTTGACCTCGAAACCTCAGCTTTGCCCATTAGCCCTACTTTTCGTGACTACGGTACATCAAGTGACAACCAGGCCATACATTTTTCGACCGGTCCATCTTCAATTAAGCATACAAATCAGGAAGGCGATCAGCCATGTGCTAGGGCTACCACTGACAAGTGTGACCTTGAATCCTCACATTTGCCCCTCGGCCCTACTTTCCGTGATCCTGCAAGTTTGATCGGCCTTCAACAAAACGCCCCTAAATTGGTGAATTCCTCTCCCAAGGAACCCCCAAAGCAGAAGTGTGCCGATTTGCCATGCGCAAAAATCGAAATTAAACCTAAATTTTCTGAGCCATTGCCCACATCATCATCTCTGTCCCTCTCGGAACTACCTATCAACCCTACTTTCCGTTCTTCTGGAGCTTCTATCGGTGCACTGGGTACCACTTCATCGCCGAACTCTTTGCCTGTTCAACTGTCAACACAGAATGGCGTGGATCAGCCACGTACAGATGCCACCACCTATGTCAAGCCCACACTCACAACACCACAAGGCTCAAAAAATTCCCAGCCTTTCCCGTCGTCGCCTATCAATCCAACCCTAGCTCGCTCTGGGCCTTCGCTCGAGCTTCCGAGCGCCCCTCGAGTAGTGGAATCTTCTCCTATTGAGCCACCAAAGCAGACTCATCCAAGTTCACCATACGCAAACACGGGCGTTAAACCTAAATTTACTGAGCCATCGCCCTCAACATCTACTCTGGCCTCTTCCGAATTGCCTATCAACCCAACCTTCCGTTCTTCCGAGACCTCCATCAACATTTCAAGCGCCCCTTCATCACAGGGTCCTTCTCCCATTGAAACGCCAAAGCCAGATCATGCGGTAATGCCACGTGAGAACGACATCACACCCACTTCATCGCCAAAATCATCTCGATTTCCTTCAATGCACATCTCGAGCCTCCGTCACACCGGGGCTTCCATCGGTTCTCTGGGTACGCCATTTGCAGCAAGTCCGTCTGTTTTTAGAATTGGACTGCTAAGACGGCCATGGGAAAAACCGTCTGCAAATTATCCAGACCTGAAATCCGCATCGACAATGTCACCAGGATCAGCCTCATCTATCGGGAACTCTCAGACTTTAAGGAAGCCAGAGAATGCCATTTTGCCGGCCAAAACACACCCCATAGAATCGCAGAGGAATGAACCTTGCGGCCAATCCAGCTCAACGATGGCCGGCATCAACCATACACAAGCAAATCTACTAAACTCCAACTCGAGTTTGCTGCGTTCGAAGTTGCCCATCAGCCCTGCTCATTCAAATTCGAAGGCTGGTTCCACTTATGCCGAGGTTGAGATGGCACGCGCTGTTCAGGGCCCACCTTCAAGTCAAGCTAAACCGAGCATTTCACGGTTTTCTTCGAATTGAATCTAGTCACCATTTTATCCTCCACGAACAAAATTAGCCCTTTTTGGTGAATTCACACCTCGAACCAACGCAAGATCACTAATATTTCTACAAAACAATCTTGCTACGTTGGCCGCCACCCACGACGCCACGACCCCTTTCTCTCAACGAGCCCCATATTCGGGGCCGAGCACTCGATACCCTTTTGATTTGCTCTGCTTGTACAGTTTATGCCTCATCTTTTGTCTCGTGTCAGCTTTTGGAAGCAATTATACCGATGGTGGGTGAAATCCTGGAGTCCTTAAAAGTCTTGTTTTCCTTTTCTTTGCATATTGGCGGATTTTGATTAGATTTTGTTCTGGTAGTCTTTCTTTTGTTTTCTCTATCTCTTTAGTGATGTCTTTCTTGTTTTGTTTTATCTGTTTTTTCTTCGGCGGAGGCCCCGTTCTGCGTTCTGGTGTTCTCGCCCGGAAGTCGATGTATATTCATGGGATTTTTCGCACCTTTTCTTGTCTGACAGGGCTGTATTTTTTTTCTTCCTTTTTCGCTAATTTGGCAATGCAGTTCTTGGCTAGAACTGGCTTTCGCATTTTAACCGTAGAGAGGCCCTGCTGTCTCCTTCTATGGAGCAATGACTTCTTTTTGCGTGATCATAGACAATGAGTTCTCCTCATTTTGCAGCCAAGTAAGATTCAAAACTTTCCTGCCAAGGTTCTGCGCTTAATCCTAGTCCTCGTCCAATCAGCACAATTTTGCACTGAAGTGATTTGGACTTATCCTTGATGTCTATAGGCTCCGCATCTCGAATCTCGAATACATCCCGCACAGCTTGGATGATCCTGCTTGTCCCATCATTCAGGTTCAGTATACCCTTCAACCGATGAACCTCGAAGTCTACGGGGTGTGGCTCGGATGAAACTGATATCACAGGCGCAGGAAACTTTGTTTCCCACAAAACAGAGCGCAGCCAGGCATCCACGCGGCTAACCTTATCTGCCGGGATTGAAGGCGTAACGATCGCAGTGGTAGAAATTGCCTGGTCATAGTTAGAACAACAGGAGCATTGAATGTTTGCAAGAAGCAAAAGACAGTAGACAATATTAACATACCGGGTCGATATGGCTATGTCCCTTCTTGCTAAAGTCCAAATCCGCCAAGTGATCATAGGCATGCAGGTCCAGCACAACACCCTCAATCTGTGGCGTCCGGCTATGATTCGTCACATGAATCATAGCCACGCTGTTGATGGAAGCGATCCGATCTCGCACAGCCTCTAGCTCCTGGTCCGTAACCAGATCCGTTTTGTTGAGGATTACCACATCTGCATGCGAGATCTGCATATGCGCCATAGACAGAACAGGGCCAGAGCCGTGGTCATGGTTCACGTCATGCGACTCAGCCTTCTCTTCAGGGGCCGGTTCGTCCAGCAAGCGCATGATGTTCTTTGCGTCAACTAGAGTGACAATTCCATCGAGATAAATAGAACTGCCGAGCCCTTCGTCCATCCAGAAAATCGGGGCGATGTTACCTGGGTCGGCAAGACCGGTTGTTTCTAGAAGGATATAATCAAAGGTGCCGCGGCGCTCCATCAATGACTCGATAGCCATTACGCCTGAGTCTTTAACGGAGCAGCAGATGCAGCCATTGCCGACTTCCATCCATTCGGTCACTTCTTGGCCACCCTGATTTACTGTCATTGGTTTTTCAATGTCCATTGCTTTATGATAAATTGTTAGAAGAGAAGTTTTTGGTCCTTACGGCTGGACAACTTACAGTCACCAAATTCTGCAAATGCATTAGCTATGTGTATCATATCTCACAGTCAGGTTTGACAGACGAACCGTTCATGATCACGGCAATTTTCTTGCCGTGTTTTTCTGTCAAGATATGGTTTAACAGGGTTGTTTTCCCTGCTCCCAGGTAACCTGATAACTACATTAGTCTCTTTTATCACTTGAATTAAAATGCACTCATTCATACCAGTAACCAGCGTGATGGGCACTCGAGCTGTTGGTTCTTCATCAACCGATGTTTGGTCTGCTGGTATTGCAGTCACATCAATTAGCTCCGGGGGAGTATCCTCGTCTTCAAAATTGGCAGACATACTGTCCTAGTCTTTGAATGTTGTGTAAGTATCTCAGAAGAACACGGAGTCCGAAGAAACAGAAAGCTCGTAGATGCGGCGGATGACGTTGTTTCCCAAAATAGACGATAGGGCATAGGGCTCGGGCGGTCAGCCGTTGCTATGTTGATGGCTGTTATCCTCAGCGTCTATGCTTGCTCTCAACACTCGACCTTTGCTTTCATAAACACAGTTTAACGGGGCGTCTAGGGACCTTTCACTCTTTTTTTTGTTTTCTCGGTTTCTCTCGTTTCAGCTAGCGCACTCGTTACACCACCGGCATGACTGCTGCGGGAGTCTCTCCGTCAAGCTCTCCGCGGCTTCCCAGCCCTCCTCCATTTACTGAGGTTCAAATTGGGCCTCAGTCGCCGTTGGTTGGCGAATCCTTTGGTAAAGATACAGACCTGCTCGGTGGTGCGATGGGACAGAACGATGGCTCGGCGCGCAGAATCCGGCCAGGGACGAAGTCCGCCAACATGGGCCTGCCGGCGATTTCCCTAGAGCAGGTCAGTTGCCCCCCCCCTCCTCTTCCCCGCTATCTATCTTGGGCATTACTGATAAATGCAGATCGATTCTCCATTCCAGCTCCAGGAACACCTCAAAGCCCAGTACCAGAAGCTTGCGCCCCAGTACACTAAACTTGTGGAGAAGTACGATGTGCTTATGGAGAAGTACGATGTGCTCATGAAGGCGTACCATGAGCAGAAACTCAAAGCATCTGACATAGCAGACCCGAAGTACGGTGTGCTTATGGAGGAGTATAATGTGCTTTTGGAGGAATACAATCAGCAGAACCCCGAAGAATTTGACAAGGTGGATCGGACAAGCGAGGTTGCGAAAGAGCTAGAGTCGACAGAACACTCGGAGATTGACATTGCTCAAGAGCCAAGAAAACCTGGGAGCGAGGTTGTTAATGAGCTGACAAAACCCCCGAATGGATTCAAGGAACTGGCTTGGAAGTACGAATTGTGCCGCTTCTTCACTATAGAAGCTAATCGTCTCGTCGAGGGCTTTCTTACTGAGAACCCGCCCTGCTCGTTGCAAACTTGTCCCGAGATGCGAGTCAACGATTGGCAGTATATTTGCGCGGGCGCGGGGCACTCGGGTGCCAAATACTGCTGCGCGATTGACTATTGCTGCCATACTTTGGACTGGGCCATGAACATTCTCACCTCGGGCACTTTCGACGACCGACTTATATTGGCAGATGATGACAAAATCAAGAAACCTTTGGAAGATATCTTCCGCCGCCTTTACCGCTTCTTCGCGCACGCATGGTTTCGGCATCCTGGTGTGTTTTCGAAGGTGGAAAAGCATGGCGGTCTGTACGTCTTTTTTAAGACCGTTTGTGTTCACTACAACCTTGTCAAGGGCTACACGATTCCCCTTAAGGCCGGCGGACCTGATGAAGTCGCAGCAGCCCAGAGAATCGAAGAGGCCGAGAAAAGGAAGGAGGAGACCGAGGGAAAAGCACCCAAGGAAAAACCCGCCAACCGTAGCAACCGTTTCACTATTCTACGCAAAGAAGGTGAAAATCTATTTGGTACCGCTGTGGAGAGTGACGACCCGGCACTCATTACTACTATCGCAACCACCCGTCGCCACAAGCATAGTCCTTCTACCGGATCGCGTGTTACACCTATCGCGGAGGATGCGGAGGATGCGGAGGATGCGGAGGATTTGGACGAGACTATGTTATTGCCACTGCGCGAGCCCCTGAGGCAATCGCCCGAATTGCGGCCTGTCTCTGTCTTGGAAATACGGACTAGAGAGGAGCCTACAGCCGTGCATGAGCCACCAATTGATGTGGTAACCCCCTCCGAAAAGCCGGTTGAAGAATCTCAGGAACAGCCACCGCAAGATCCCTATGAGCAGCCATCTGAACCCCCCGAAGACCAGGAAAAGATTGAGAAGTCCAAGGAGCCCTTTTCCAAAGAGCCGGCTACAAACACAGAATCCCCCGTCCAGAAATATGCTACAGAAGACGATGGAAATACAATTTCCTATGAAGAGGCAACTCCAGATGAAGAGCCCAAAATGGGTATTAAAGCGGAGATTGAGGCGGTACAAGAGCCTTTCGTTGCCCCTGAAGCCTAATACAAGCCATCTTGACATCAACACAGTCTTGAACCTTTCACACCAACCTCACACTGATGAAAATCGACTGTTTGTGTGTATTATTCATCTTTCTTTTTTTTTACCTTTTGTTACCTTTTTTTTTATCCTTGCGGTCAGCGATGACTCGTAATTCTTTAGCTATCAGATACTCTTTTTGTAATATAGTTCAGGATATTGTTTGTGGCCAATGTCAATGATACCCATTCTCCTGTGCTTACTTGATCTATTCATAGACAAAACCAAGAATGTATTTCCGGTATCTGACCTATGTAGCTCCATCGATGCCTAGCATATGGGGTACACATGTCCATATAACAGTCTACTCCGTATACCTGTGGGATTCACCTACCCACTCTCTCTTGTGGCGCAGGGATCTGCCTAATTTTCCCTTGTAAAGCTTATTCATTAGTATTGAACCTGCTTTTGGGATTATATCGAACTGGTCAAGTTCCTCGAATTGCTCTCTTCTATCTTGAACAAGTGCATGGGTATACTAATTCATAGTCTGTCAGCCAGATGATAAGGCGCGAGGGGGAGGGGGGGCTGCTATCTGTTAGATTGAGGGGTTAAGAGCCCTATTGATAAAAACTTAAATTTGCCAGAATCTGTATAAAATACAGAATTAAATACTACACTATTTAGGAGTTTTAAAAACCTGGGTGGAGATAGATTCCCACAAGGATAGACCGTTGTACGGAGTAGGGTAGGTAGGTAACTAACTAGTGTGTGTTGCATAGCACGGATGGAGCACACGTGGGCTAGTCCATGCCCAGGTGGGGATTATTAAGGGGTATATTTGATATCCGCTTATAAACACATCGCCCGACTTCACGGAAAATCAACAAAACAACCCCCAATTCTCCTCAATTTCCCAAATTAAGTCCCGAAATGTCAGCTCTCAAAGGTGCCACAGCGCCAATCTACTTTGGCTCCTTCGTTGTGACACCGCAGGCAAGTCTCACATGACCCAAGCAACCCCCAGTCCCTTCAACCAACACCAACCGCATTATAACACTTGCAAACCGAACTAACCCCAATATACCAACAGGTCTTCCACACAACCCCCCTAAGCTTTGCCCTGGTGAACTTGAAACCAATCCTTCCCGGCCATGTCCTAGTCTCCCCACTGCGTGTCGTCCCCCGCGTCACGGATCTCACCCCCGCTGAAACAAGCGACTTCTTCCTAACAGTGCAGCGCGTGGGCCGCATGATCGAGCGTGTATACGGTGCTACAAGCTTGAACATTGCCATTCAGGACGGCGTACATGCTGGCCAGAGCGTGCCGCATGTCCATGCGCACATCATTCCGCGCAAGGCGGGGGATCTGGATCATGCCGGTGGCACGGATGCGGTTTATGAAATGCTTGATGGGGATGAGGGGAATTTGACAAAGGCGTTTAAGAATGCCGTTCCTGCGGAAGAGGATGATCAGTCAACTGAGGTTGGGAATGAAAATGCTGGGAATTCGGGGAAAAAGTCTAGGTTCCCGGTTGTGGACAATGATTCGCGCAAGCCTCGTGATTCAGAGGACATGAGGGCCGAGGCTGAGAAATTGGCACGGGAGATGGAGAATGAGCCTCTTGATTAATTGGGTCTGTGCCTTGGATCTCAAGATCTGGGGAAATTGTATGCATCCGAGTCCAATAAAGAGTCTTGTTCTTGAGCACTAGCTGGCCCAATCCTCGGGAAGAAGGAGGTCGGTGATCATCGATATAGTTGCCTCGCTGAACACCAAACAGGCCGAGTTACAAGCGGGAGGCCACAAGCCGAATTCTTCATCCTCACCACCATGTCATTATAGGGCTAAAAATTGAGCTCTAACGCGGGCTCTGAACTGTCAGATGTCTCGGCTGGGGTATCATGTCCCTCGACCACGTCTAGTTTGAAACGGCGAATGGGCTCGTTGCCGTATACGGATTGGGGTTCATCTGACGTCGCGTTACTCTCTCAACCAAAGCTTCAATGGCTCACGGAAGTATTCTTTGGACACCGTCTGACATGAAATCCCCGGGTGGGGTCGTTCTCTTCGGGAATTTTTTCAAATTTTCGAAGATAGAAGAGTTAACTTGATTTCGGCTTAGCTTTGGTTTCATGATTCTGTTTGGATAAGCCTTTCGAGATGGCCGTGCTGCTGTCTTGGTATCCGCCACTCCACCGTGGCTAAATCATCGTAGAGCTAAGCTGCGGTCTTTTGATAATGAGCGATCTTCAAGAGTTGGATCGAATGTGGCATGAGAACAAGTTATCAATGGCATTCATCGTCCGCCCGCTCTTTGTCTTTGGAAAAGCTGCGAATTTGGAAGCTGCCGCAGAGCAACACGAACTTATCAGATAACGGAGATATTGAGAATGAAATGCCACTCCTAGAGCTTGTTGGAAATCATGTATTCTCGTAACCCATCCTTTATGGTATCTAAAGTACCTGAAAAAAGAAACGCAAAGATGAAAATGAAGAAACAAACGCCGAAAACGCAGTGGGTCTCAGTGCATGCATGCCCATCATCCATTGCCTGCGATTGCGCATAGAGCGCATGCATATCTATGCCTTCTTCGGTCTCCCCCGAATGACTTCATCAGCCCATTCCTTAATTGGGGTCAACTGAATCCGATCCTTGACGTGCATGAACTCGGTGAGATCAATCTTGTGCAAGCGCTCATACTCAACCATCTGCAAAAGTAGCTCCATCTTGTCGATATCATGCACAAAGTGGGCTTCATCGCTCTTGTCTGCCTCGTATTCCTCAAAGATTTCCTTGATTTCCCCGCCCGACAAGGCGCCTCCGGGGACCTTGCCGAGGAGGGTAGTGGTGATATAATCCATAACGGAGGCCTCGCGACGAGCCTTCTCGGCCTTAGTGATGCCGTCAACTGGAGTGATATCGCCTACAAGCGCCTCGGCCATGTCATGGATCAAGGCCATCTTAATGCAACGCGGGATGTTGATCTTGGCTGCCAGGGACGGCGGAGCCATCATCGTCATGATCGACATGCGGTACATGTGGTCAGAGATAGACTCGCCATTATCGATGCCGAAGCGGCGCCAACCCTCGCGCTTGGTGGTCTTAAGGCGCTCGATCAAATGGAAGAAAGGGACAGGTGACTCGGAGTTCTCCTCTGGGCGGTAGGGGAGGGTAGAGAGCACTATGGATATCAGCTTTGCATGGTCCGAAAAGAGGAATTTCAGGATTACCAGTCTCGGGGGTCCATGTAGAAGTATCGGAAGCCATTGCAGATGCCGGTGAAGAGAGATCCTGACTGGCAGAAAGGAAGAAACACTACCGAAGAGGGCACTTGAGGAGAGGAAAAATACAAACTACAACGAGCGGAGGACCGAAATTTGCTGCAAACAGTGCAAATGTTTGTTATCTATGTTTACTATCTATCCGCCGCCGGTTTACCAAAGTCCCCTTCGACACAGGATGGCTGCAACAAGGCTTGTTCGGCCGAAACCCCTGGACTGGCCGGGTCCTTCGCATTTGGATGTTTTTATTAGTAACCTGAAGCTGTTGCATTTGGATCAACGCGAGGACTGGCCCGGTATATCTCTCCGCGCCTTGACTCCGACATCACAAAACCAACGACGCCGAACCCGACTAATAGAATGGGCCTTGTATCACCTCTATACCATTTGGGATCCGGAGACCGCCCAAAATGTACAGTTACTCAATAACTAGATTTCAAAATTGTGAATCTTGCTGACATTCCCTGTAGAAACTCCGGCCCTTCTTCCCCCCGTTAGAACTTCTACAATCTGCCAACCTCCGCGCGGCCTTGTTTCGGTGCCTGGGCGAATTGAAGAAGAATGGTGATCTGGGAAAGGAGATCATTCTCCGCAAAACCATGCTGGATGATTGCAAGGGCGAGAAATTCGAGGAGCTGCTCGCTGGCTTCTCCACCGCCGTTCTCCGTAAAGTTGTGGCGGTGTCCGCAGACGACATGTTTTTGAACCCTGCCATGAAGCTTTCGACTGCGACAGCCATGACTTTAACCGACTATCAGAATATCCTACCACTTATTCTTGCCCACCAAGTATCTCTCGGTTCTGCAGGAGAACGCCAAGCCCGAGTTCGAGAAGCATCTGATCGGTTCTCACAGCTGCTGAATGAAAAACAGATAGAACTGGCTGAATTTGCAAGTCAGCCATCAGGAGGCGGCATTAATGATATGCAGAGAAATCCCGAGAGCTTGGTGCGTGAGTTGCAAACAAATTGGCTGGGCAGTGAGGAGTGGGCCACTGCACTGCTCGAAGGCGGATCACAAAGCAGCACTGATGCTTTTCTGGAACTTCCTTTCTCGGCGGCGTGGATGCGGGTGAAGAACTCGAATGTAGACAGTCTCGGCGGTGGATTGAAGCAGGACCTGGTCCTTGATTTGGAGGCTCGTGTTCTACTCCAACGAAGTCGATTGCGCAAGTGGCATGAATACAACAAGTCCCTCGCAAGGGAAAGAGGCACCGACGAAATGTGCACATTTTCGCCTAACGAACCGCGTGTGTTGTTCCGGGATCACCAGTCCCTCACAGTTGCTAGTATATCAAAAGCCGTTCGCCAGCCCGGAGATCGCGGGCGGAATCTGAAAGGGCCAGAGAAATATCTCCTATCGTCTGTGAATGAGGCCCTATCCCGTATCAATGGCAAATCCCGTGTGAGGCCTGCAGCTTCCACGCCGGAAGTTGAAACGAGCAGCAATCTACATCGCAGAAGCTCATCGGAGATTACTAGCTCACCATCAACAGTGGCAGAAGACTATCACTTCCCAGGCCATCTACCAGATTTGGAAACTCCAGAGCTATTTCCAGAGCCCGAGCTCGAGCTCGAGCTCGAGCCGAGGTCCAAACCCAACCCACATCCAGAATCAGAGCAAAGTCAATCTTCCCCCCCAATTGTCCGGCTACCCTCAGACCTCCCCTCGTTCGATGAGGCACCAGTCCCTGAACCCATCGAGCGCACCCACACCTTAACCGAGCGCACGCGTAAGTCAATGTCTCTCCTACCACCCGTGGTCCACGAAACGCCACGGCCACGCCGCAAACCTCGCCCGTCCTTCCCGGTCAACCAGTTTGTGACGCCACATAATACCTCTGCACACTCCGCTCGCTCAAGAGATGAGATCATACGTGCTTCGACGCCGCAGGATAAGCTATTCGAGGAAGATGCTGAGTACGCAAGTGTCTTCAAGTCGCGGCCGCGTGTGGCGCTCAGTCCTATCTCGTCACCGGCTGTGCATGTCAGTCCCTCCTTTGAGGAAGACCATTTTGAATTGGATTATAGGGATTGGGATGAGAGCGACGATTGTGAGTGGGGGGATGTCAATTCGCCTTTGGCTGCTCCGCGATTGAGGGGCTAGGTTGTCAAAGTATGCACCTGCCCCTATCCGCACCCGAATTTTCCTTGTGGGGCTGTAGGGAGGGGCTTTTTTTTCTTCGTGCTGCTCCTTTTTATGGGGGTGCTCTGGCTCAAGCTTAGACAGATTGAGTAGATGTTAGCACACGTTCAGAATTATGATCATGCTCGGGTTCAAGTCCAGAATGACTGATGCTCCGTTTTCCTTTTCAATTTACCGTGACTCTTCATACGTTGACAGCGTTACTCCTCTCCTTATCTTTTGGAGCACTCTACAATGTTCCTGAGACACTGCGTGATAACGATGTATCGGGCGTGGGAAAAAGCGGGGAATTCCATTCCTTTCATGATATAGCGTAGGCTATAGTGGACGGACAGTGTATCATGTGCGGATCATAAAGATGTCCTTGTTCGTGGATGATGTATATCTAAAATAGTGAAGTTGGCAATCTTGACTAGTAGCAGGAGGGGACACTTAAGATCCCATGTGATGACACACATTAGATGAACAGGATCTTGGTCCCACTGAGGGTAAATCCCGTGATATATCTCTAGTTTCTTTTTTCCTGGTCGGGGTAATGCCTGAGTGTTAGGTGATGGACGTAATTTTTCGATCGCGTTCGATATAGGTGTTCTCTCGGTGGAAGTGGATGATGCAGAACCTGATTCTCTCCGCTCCATCAGCCGCAATGCTTTTTTTCCAACTATCCCCGACAGAGGATGACTGTCAAACTGTCTGTCGACGAAGATATCCAAGCCTCTAGTTTTGACACCCACTTCAACAAGTTGTCGGTTAATCATGTACAGCATCAATCTTGAGAAAAGAAAAAGACAGCTACATGTTTTCACCTCGGGAGCGGGCGGACAGGAGACAGGAAAGAAGCAAATACCTGTCTCCTCTGATCCTATCACAAGTTTCGATGCTTCAGCCATTCATCAACCGACAAATATCCGTTCCGGAAACCTATGGGTAAATCAAATTCCGGAAACCGGTTTGATTTAACCATAGGCCGCTTCTTTTTAGGGGCAGCTGTCAGCTCCCCGGTGTTGAGCAGTATCCGCGCTACCTCGGTGCCCCCTGCCCATGCAGAGGCCGGCAGCGCGTTGCCGTATCTACCACACTGGGGATTGATATCAGCCCCGGTGTCGAGTAGCAGTCGTACCATTTTAGCGCCTCTCATTGCTGCAGCGGCCTTCAGGGCGCTGCTAGATTCATCTCACCAAGGGTTCCCCTCACCACTCTTGGTATTGACATCTCCCGTTATGTCTTGAATACTTGGGATTTTTATAAAATTGGTGCTTTTATAACATGTAACACAGTGCATTGTGTCTTTTATCCCCCTCTTTGCCTCGGGACTTTGCACTACAAAATTGCCGATTGGAAAAGCTTCCACCATGCCATTCGCTAATCCCAATCTCAACCCTAAGCTCTTCCTCCATTTGAGTCACAATATCAAAGCCCTTGCAATTTCTGGGAAAAGCGGTGGTGGCTAAAAGTTGAGAAACACCCCCTGTTATCTTTAGTGAAACAGCCCAACGAACCCGTGTCTCCTAGTATACTTCGAAAAGTGCAAGCAACATCTTACAAGTACGATGGAGAAAACGCCTTCCTACTAGCCATTCACAGTAGAGAGATTTTGCAAGGAACATGCTACCCGGGTGAAGGTGGCCTTCTCAGAGATGGACAGAAGCTCAAACATGGCAGATCAGTACCGGAGAGTGACAAAAGGAGACCGATTGGAAGATCCCATAAAATTCTCACGCATGCGATTACAGTGTCGAAGACCACGCAACTTTCGAGTGTGAGGGAAGTGGAAATTAAGAGGATCGATGACGCTTGAAACTTATTACCGGCGATGCCTACATATGTGCCAGAGGGTCAATCGCAGGCTTTTATTCAACAACTCTGGCAGCGGCTACCAGAATATCAAGACCAGTGCGGGACCCCGATACAACAACACTGACTCTAAAAATATCTTTACGGCCACAATTTGCGGCTTCCAAATCTCCGAAGGACGTGGACGTTCTTGCTTGACGGTCTTGCCTGAAAGCACGGGGCTAAAACTTACGAATTCGATCATGGAACGAATATGGCAGGTCCACGACTGCTCAGCTTCTGGCGGAACCCTTTCTGGCCTCAGGCTTACCACTCTCCTTTCACATGCATAACTCGTGGTCATATTTATTCACATCTACCTCCATCTGTCTCTCCTCGATAGTTATGCAAAGACCTCACCGCTCTTCTGTCACTATTTCTGCCTAGGAGCTTCTTGGCTCTTGTCCATGTGCTTTCTTGCTGTGCTGTATTGATGTTCTTACGACTACTCTGAAGTCTTCATGGGGGTTTAACATGAAGCTCGCTTGGAATCGTAATGTACTGTGCATCTGACTATCCAGATCCAGATCGTGATTCGTTCAGGGATACTTCATAGAGTCCCTTTTGAGTACGGTAGAAACATTCTCTCAAAAGGTCGTATAAGCTCCGAGGTACCCGTTCCGAAGGAGGAAACGGATATTGAAAACAGGAGCTTCCATAGCACTAGAACAGTCTAGAACCACCCCGAACTACCTCTCAGACATCATGCAATTTTTTTTTTTTTTGGGTATTTTTACCGGCTTTACTAAGAACAACATGATCCTAAAAAAAATAGTTACCAGTGCCTGGGCAGGGATTTCAGTGCGCAGAAGCACACAGTATGAAGCGTGGAATCTCTGATATTGGATATCTGAAACGAAGAGGAATTCCATAGGGCATAGGTGGTGTGAGGCATAGGTAAATCAGGCTGCCTGGATCCTGGCGGTCAATGGAGATGGGCCTGCATTATTTTTCAGTGACCTGCATAACCCTCATCAGTTGGTCTGTTTGTAATTCTCATGGTTCCACCGAGGAAGCGATGGTAATGGACCTTGATGGACATGGTATCCTGCAGTTCTGAGCTCTCTACTTCTCAACAAGAAGGAACGAGACGATGAACGATGACCCGCACGTGCCGCTCGGGAAGATCGAGTGGGGAGGGGTACGGAGGAGGCATGATGCCATGGCTGCGTTGGTCTCTGAACATGAAACACGGCTGTTGGAGATAAATTGAGGACCTCGGGTTCAAGATCTACGTCGAATCCTTACAAGTCCCCATGTGGATTTTTTATTATATGCAGATAAAACATGGAAATCGATAGACAAGTCAAGGGGGTTGAGATAGCACAGTACTGTTGTATTCTACAAACCGAGGAAAAGGAAAATCTACACCAATCGAAATCAAGATCATCCCAGAAACATCGTCCTGTTTCGCCAGTGTGACAGAGAACCAAGTCTCCAGGCCCTTGCTCGGAATCTAACGATCTTACTTGTCGGAAGATGTAGGGCAGTGGTCACGAGATAGTTGTCCCCGCCATCGTGCGCTACTTCGGCCCCAATGTTTTCACATCGGAGGGCTCACATGTTGGGCATGTTGTCCTAGAAAATTTTGAGAAACACAGTCTTTCCTTAGCAAGAGGTTCTTTGGCGTCACCTGCTCCTTCATGGCGCCTCCCTCGACCGCATTCCTTTACTCCCTGGGTCATAATACCGTGGGAAAGGCAGATATCGCTGTTCAGTCGGTCCTTTTAGCTTTGGTTTTGGTTTTCGTCGGGCTGCGGGTATGGTCGCGACGATTGCAGTGTCTTTCGCTGCAATGGAATGATATACTGATCCTAGTTGCGACTGTATGGTTGTCTATTTCATTACTTCTTCTCAATATGTGGCACCGTCAGTTCTCCGCAATCTCTCGACAAGGCTGACTATAAGATCCTAGTTCTTTGTGGTTGGTCGCTATGCGGTGGAAATCATCATGGTCGTGCTGTGTGGACTGGGCCTGCATTCCACCGAACTAGCCCAGGTCGGAGGGTTGGAGGTTTGGGTCCAATTCAACGAGGTAAGTCGTCAGGAGCCTCGGTTTGATTCATGTCGATTAAGTCTATTAAACCAACACTACCATCAGCTTACATACGCGGGTGATCTTCTCTGGGTGACGGCGATCGCCGTGATCCAGTTGTCAATTCTCGACTATTATGTGCACACCTTTGGTCGGCGCACTATGACCTTGCTGGCAGCTGTCATCATGGGTCTATGCGTTGCGCTTTGGTTTGCAAGCTTCTTTGCAACGGCGTTTTTCTGCACCCCGCCGAAGAAAATATGGCTTGCCGATAATCCAGGTCATTGCGGTGATCGGAAAATGTTGAATACGGGTGTCAATGCGAGTGAGATAATTCTCAGCTTCTTTGTGGTTATTCTTCCCATACCCTTGATGTGGAATTTGCCCTTGTCTAGGACTAGGAAGACTGCACTGGTGTGCATCCAAGTGTTAGGGCTGGCGTGAGTTATCCGTGGTGGTACGCAACGAATAAATATTACAGACCTGATGACTGACCGACGCCTTAGCATCATTGCCCTTATCCCTATCCGCGCGAAATTCAAGTCCGACCTCGATCCTGAAGGCCCACCCTATGGCTCTGCCGGGCAATCAATGATTTCATGCATCGTGCCTCTTCTGGGAATAATTGTGGCTTGTCTCCCAACTCTGGAGCCAGCCATTCAAAGGATCTTCAGGATATCAACGCATCCAGCTTCATCCCCTACGTCTGTATATGATCCAAACTTGGCGAATTATTGGAAGGCGACGGTCCTTTCATGTAGGGGGGTAGAGGAACCAGAGATACCTCTGGTCACTCTTACGCAGCCGCTCGTGGCCAAGATAGGCTATTTTACTCCGGGTGGTATTCAGGTTACCTCACATTGGGAGATTCATTCATCGCGGGGTTCGACAAGACTTGATAGATCACCCGTGCGGCAGACCTGAAGGGGGTTTATATTGACAACCGTGTGGCTTATTTGGATTGAACTATAGATTTTGGGTCTGGTACCCGAAGTCCATAAAGTTCCTAATATTTTTTTATCCATTTCTCCGGAGTACGATGTGTAATAAATGCCCTCGCATCGACTACCGAATGCATAGCTTGCGCTTCCAACTATTTCGGTATCTCTATCGATGTGCATCCTTTGGTTACCTTCCATCCGATAGTTTAGGGCTTCGGCTGTATTGAAAAAAAAAATGGCAACTAAAAAATTGGTTTAAACAAATGTTAGAGCTAGAGTCATTCAGCAGGAAATGTATATAACTCAAAAACACGAACACGTCCGTGCACATGGACAGAGTCCAGTACCTCCTTCCATTATTCTTTACTACTACAGTATATACTGAGCTAAGGTGAGAAAGATCGCTGCCTGACATCGTTTTCAATACACTCAATAATCCCAGAAATGTGCAAACCCACCATGTGCACGAAATCCCATACATGCACCCAATCTGGCACAAAATCACATGCTTTATAACTGTTCGCCACTGCATACTTTCATCCCAACTCAGTGTGGTTGGCCAATTGGCCTAGTGGTAAGGCATCCGTTTCCGGTGCGGGAGATCGTAGGTTCGAATCCTGCATTGGTCGTTATCTTTTTGGTGTTTGTTCCTTGTTTGTCTAGCCAAAACAAGGATCCCCTTTTTGTTACTGACTGCCCTGGGCTTTTCGTTACCTACTAACTCCATCATCCTGATACAACAAAAGACTTTGTTTATATCTCGAAACCCGTCCATCAACATACGGTCAAGAAAAAATTTCTTCTCCAATCTCCTCATTGACCAAAGTGAAGGTTTCTTTAGACCCATCCATTGTTTGTCGAACCCGGAATCGAGGTACGAGTGTCACAACAAACAATGAAAATAGAACTTTGGCCGGCGACTAATGTACAAGTTTATTTCGAATTGTTTCAAGTGCTCGAGCCTTTGCCATTAAGGCAGCTTGTTCTGTCGGACGTATGCTTGTGTTGCCAGGTAGATTGAACATCGGGCTAGTTGGATCATAAGATTTTCTCCTTTACATAACTCGGTTTAATCTCTATGTTTCTGTTTCTGTCACGCACGTATTTAATATATCTGTTTGAGCCTCGCCACCTCGCCACCTCTCTACGTGGATGGGTGATGACCTCCATTCTGCCCCTACCATCCATCCACCCACCCCATCGCCAGTAAAGTCGATTATAATAACCCCAAAAAAAACCTACAACGTAACAAGAAGTGACAAGAATGTAAAAAAGCATCCCTTTGACTATAAGGAGAAAGAGTAAAAAAGATAACGACCAATGCAGGATTCGAACCTACGATCTCCCGCACCGGAAACGGATGCCTTACCACTAGGCCAATTGGCCGCCTTGTGTATAATGAAATCCAAACAAAGACACTTTGATCAACAGAGGAATGGCGGTTCAACCTATCAACTTCCATGTAGTTAGGGCATCACCGCTACGCACCTGTGTTTTGGGTCTGTAGGTACCACTTCAGCACCTAGGAGAGAGATACATGTACACGCGAATTTGGAGCGAGTACTGTGAGCATCAGTAAGCCAATCGATGAGATCCCAAAGGGGACGAAACCCCCAAGACACAGGATGTCTCGTAGGAACAAGCAAGCAACCCCTTGAGCCGTGTTTTTTTGCCCACCACCAATAATTTCCCCAGGAAAAGCTAATAGAATTGAATGTGCAGGTCCCGGATCCTAGATGATCTCACACGACGAGCCAGGAGCGTCCCTTGCATAGCAGGGAGGTGAACCCAGGATCGACGCGGAAATTTGTTGAGATCAAGCATTGATGCATTCCTTTCGGAGGAGAAAACATTCAGCCACCCTGCCAGAGTAGCGAGAGAACTACGAGAATTTCCCGCGAGGGGTGTTGATGTCGCCGCACGGGCAGCTGAGGAGCAGAACGCGACGACGCCCCTTCGTATCCCAGTTATGGCAGAATGCCACCAAGACGACCCGTCATGAAAATTACTAAAGAAAGACTGGATTCCTCTCAGGGGATTCGCATTCTCCCAGACGCTCCTTTGCATCCCTTCTTGTTTTTTTATAATTTCCCACGTCCAACTTTGTCGCCCGCCGACAGTTCCTTTCTTTTAGTTTGGTACTTACGACAGTGGTTCACATAGCCGAGATAATGGTCAAGACTACCTACGCCCTGACGCTTTTTGCGGCTGTCAGCTTGGCGGCTCCTGTTGCTCAGCTGGATAGCCGTGCCAAGAAGCAGGTTTCAGTTGAGCACAAGAACCTCATTGAGGATATTCCGATCATTGGACCTATGCTTGCGGGGGTAAGTTTCTTTGTTTAGCATCAGAGATAGATGAGACCTTAGGGAGACAAAAGACTAATCCGGATCGACCAACAGAAGCAGGATGTGAAGCGCGATGAAGGTCAGCATCACGACCTCATCGATGACCTACCAATCATCGGAGAGATTCTTGGCAACGTAGGTTTATCTTTTTGTTTTGAATACCAATCGGGGAGGACTAACCCAGGCCCAAAAATAGAACAGGCAACGCAAGCGTGGAGATTTCGGGAGAGATGGTATTAGTGGCCTGCCCATTATTGGGGGACTGTTTGGAAAGGTGTGTACTTATGAACAACAGTCATTAAGAGCCAGGATATTGATGAAAACCTAGCACACGCACACTGGAGGTGAAAATGGAATGAACAAAAGACAAAGCTTCGGTCAGAACCATGGCCAAAATGCAGGCCAAAACGCTGGTCAAAACGCTGGTCAAAATGCAGGCCAAAACGGATCCAACGAGCTGGAGCGTGACCTGGAGAGCAGTCTCAGCAGTATCCCTATTGTCGGAGAGATTTTTGGAAAGGTGCGATGCGCATTCTCAGCAATTGCAACAATCCATTTGTTGAGGATAAGAAAGCTGATACGAGACAGGGCCATGGTAAACCCTCTCACCAGCAGACTGAAACTCCTGCGAAGTACCTCGATACCCGCCAGGCAGGGCATTCAAAGGGTGTCTTCGGTATCCTGCAGTCCCTGACTAGCGGTGGTGTGGGTTCTTCCCAGATCTCACTGGTTTGTACACAAGTGCTAACAATCCAATAGCCCGACAGCAAGAGTCACAAGCGCGCAGTGGAGTCACAACAAATGAAACCAACGGACGGCGTCCTTGAAGGAGGCGAGTCTTCTGCCATGCAGGTATGGATCCATATGCCAGAAGAACACGCGAGAGAATAATCCCAGCTAGTACATGATGATAATCCCACTTCACAGGTGCGCCGTGAAGAATCAGCTGCACCAAAGGCCAACGAGGCGCAGCATGGTAACCAAAAGGGAGGCAAGAGCCAGGAAGACAAGGCGAGTGAGAGCTCTGGCGGCCTCCTTGGTGGATTGATGGGCAAGGATGGTCTTGGTGGTGTTATTAAGGGCAATGGCCATCACGGCGTTGGCCTTTTCCCAGTAAGTGTCTCCCACCGACAAAGAAGGAAGCCACCAAGCTCACATTCGTTCAGATGCGCCGTGACGCCAAGGAACTTGAGGCTCGACAAGCTCCTATCCAGGGCTCCACTCTCACCGGCGTTCTTCTTGAGGGTGGTGCTTTGGGAAAGATCACTAATGCGCTTTCTGGAGGTGCTATGCCCAAGCCCGGTTCCAGCTCCCCCACTAACATGGGCGACGGTTCCACTTCGGGTCCTCCTGACCCTGCGTCTGGTGCTGGTCCTCACTCTGGCCCTGGCCTCGCTGCTGAGCAGCAGAAGGCCTCCGGCGCTGCTTCTGAGTAAGGCACAAGTGGGATATTTGCCTTGTGTTTTATCTACTTCTCTCAGTCGAACAGATTGTGATCAGGATTGGAATGGAAACAGTTAGATTAGCCGAGAAGGATTAAGAATGCGTAGTTGGGTTATGTGGTATTGATGAGTTGTTATTTACTTTTCTAAACAATGTGAAATGCTTTCTTGAGTCAACAATAAACCGAAGCTTCAGTGTGTCAAACACAGGCAATTTTGAACTTTGGACACAAGCCTGCATGAAAACCCTGCATGTAATGAGACAGGCAGACGAAGCTGCAAGGAGCGCACGCAAAAAGGCAAAACATAGACATCGTTAATCGTAGTCAAATCAAAACCGGCTTTTCCGGTCCGGACCACCCAGTTAAAGAGCGCTCTTGGGGGGTATCAGGTCGTTACACGCGATGAAATCAAATACAGCACTACCACCACTCAAGACGGAACAAGATGCTCCGAAAGGCAAGGAGCAGCCTAATCAGAGTCATCATACATGTCCATATCGTCCACTACTACCGTCGTTCCCAACGCTTCTTTCCCTTCGCGGATCATGGCCTGCAACTGCATATTCAATCGCTGGATACTGGCATCTTCTTCTCGTTCCTTCCGGCGCATCTTAGCAGCCTGTCGCTGCATATCAGCAGATGCAGGAGTATCCCTCACCCGAGGGGGTGGCAGACCTCCCTGCGAGTGGGATCCAACAGAAGAATGAGCGACCCGTTTAGCAAGCCGGGGCATCACGGCGGATTTGCGACGAGTGCTCGATGCCTGGAAAGCGCGTCGTGTGCGGAGTGACGGGCTAGCAAGCTCGCCGCCCATGATTGCATCAGAGCTCTCCGGGACCACGACCCAGCTCCGATCAACCTGGTCGTCTGGATATTGGCCGGGGATGGGTGTCGAACAGAATGAGTTTGGGCTGGACATGTCCTTCTCAGAGGATGGACTGGCTGAGGACAAACAGCTGGATTCGAGAGGTGTTGCTGGGCTGGAGGACATGTCGTAGCCCTGACCTCCTCCTGCATAGAACCCTCGGAATGCACCACTCCAGCATAGATCGATAACTTTGCTCACGGCTTTGATCACGGTCCGACCCCAGCCTGTGGGTGTGGTGGGATTGGAGCCATCGGGGCTTGCGGCTATGATGTCAGAGTCGCGGCGGCTACGCTTGCGACTGCCATTGTAGTCTGCTAGGTTCGCAGACTCGTCGCTGGAATCGAAGGAAGGTGGGAGGAAGGATTCGCGATATCGGTTCGGACGGTAGTCTAGCTCGGCTGACGCGAGGAAATCGTTGTCCCCACTTACGCTTACTGAGCGGTAGCTGGGGTGGATCATCGGGGACTCGGTGAAATTGCACTCAAAATGCGGTGAAAGTTTCTCTGTGGTACGACGTGGTCGCTTGCGACTGAGCGAGAGAGAAAAGAGCGACGTAGAAGCCGTGGAGGCTGGGACTTGGAATAGCTGAGAAGGCGCATTTGAGAGGTCGAGCTTCGGTGACGAAGCAGAGTTGAAGACCGCGTGCATGTCGGGCATTTTGGAAGGAAATCAGAGAAGTAAGACAACAAAAGATCAAAATCGGAAGAAAAAAAAAAAGAGAAGAAACTCTGATACAAAAAAAAAAAGAAAAAAGCGAGTGGTTGGATAGTGGCCATGTCAGCCTACAAGTCACTTCTTTGTCTCACGCTATCATACTATTTAGGTCCCCTACATGACATTCTCATATCACTATTCTATGTTGTATACGGATAAATGGATTGGAATTACAATCGTTGACTGGTCCATTGTACTCCAGCTGCCTCCAATCCCTCATCACCATCAACTAACACACACCATCCCTCGTAGCCCTGCCCTCCATCTCCCGCAATCACCGCCTCAAAGTGATTATGAGCGTATTCCAGCACTTGATCGTCAAAGGTACCAGGCTGTAACCAAACTGCAGGGATCCCCACCGAGTGCGCTTCCCGCAGCACCTGGAGGGTCACAGCCGGGGGAGTCACCACTGAGAGGGATGTCTGCGCCGGCGATGGCAATTTGGCGGGTGAGGGGACTGTGTCGTAAGAACGCGAGGGAAGGGTGATCTGCACTGCTCGGGGATTGAGAGGTGTCACTGGTAAGGAGTGCTGATGATACCAGGCGAGGACTGTGATAATTTTTTAGTTCTCTACAACAAGATGCCAACAGAGTGTGTTCCCCACTCTTGTATCCAAATTTGTGAGTGTCATTGCTGGCCCCCGCCACCGCAAAGCGAGGGGAAGAGAAGAATCGTTTGACTGCTGCCATGGTAGTTTGAATAATTATGATGGAACTGATTTATCTCAAAGAGTCAAGTAGTCTTTCAATTTACAAGTGGTAGTCAAATAGGTAATAGCCAAAAAAAAGGTGCAATGCGAAAAAAAAAAAAATTTAAAAATTAAAGTGAAGCGCAACCTCGGCCGATGACGACTTTCTGCCTTCATCTCCCATCTCCGACATTCGGCGATCTTCCTCATTTCACATCTTCACATTCATTCGCATGCCACCCTTCCTCCCCCGCAAGCGCATATCCTCCGAGGACCCGCCCCCGGCCAAGCGCCAGGCCCGGCCCGATAGTCTTCAAGCTCCCCCTCCCCAAGCTCCGTTTCACCTCTCTGACTCCGACTCTGATTCCAACTCATCTTTGAGCGACGCACCTGAAGGTCTTCTCAACAAGGAGAATGAGAAATCTGAAGATGAAGAGGAGGATGTCGACTGGGAGGATGCGATAGACACAAAGACCAGTGTCATCACACCTACTGTCGCAGCCCTAGAGCTACAGGACCTAGAATTGACACTGGATCAAAATGAGACACACGTGTCTGATCTTCTGGATGGTAAGAAAGGGCCTAGTAAGATCGAACGCCAAATTCGGATCCAGACACACTGTATGCATGTCCAATGCTTGCTTTTCCACAACGCTATCCGCAATGCCTGGAGCAACGATTCCAAGGTCCATGAGATCCTGCGCAACAAGCTACCGGAAGGGATCCACAAGGAAGTCAAGAAATGGCGCATAGCATCGGGTCTAGAACTCCCAGAATCAAAACCCGAACCGCCTAAGAGTAAGAAGAAGGGCAAAAAGGCCCGGAAAAATAAAGACTGGAATGCTGAGTCAGAGCGACTGGAACCAGGCCAGCCAGACATGAGCCGTGGTGATCCAATCATTACATTGATCAAGGTGCTGGTCGCATACTGGAGAAAGCAATTCCACATAACGGCGCCAGGACTGCGAAAGTATGGATACCGACCAGTATCTGCTCTCGAGGCTGCAATCACCGACTTTCGCGACGAAGAACATGATCCAGAGCGCCATGGTGAGCGTATCGCCAACCTCGACGAGTTCCGCAAGACCGCCGAGCGTTTGCAGGGCTCACGGGATGTTGGCGCACAGCTTTTCACGGCTCTTGTCCGTGCTCTAGGCATTGAGGCCAGACTCGTGGGTAGCCTACAGCCGTTGGGCTTCGGCTGGACCAAGGGAGAGACCTACACACCTTCCAAGCTAGATAAGGATTTCGACAGTAAAGGGGACTCGGAAGAATCCGAGACTGAAACTGATGCAACTGAAAGTAAATTACCAGCGAACAAAAAGCAAAAACCGTTTGACAAGGATCTGCCATTCCCTATCTACTGGACCGAAGTTGCCTCCCCCGTTACGAATCAGATCATATCTGTTGACCCGCTTGTACTTTCTAACCCCGTGGCGCCATTTGCAGATACAGATTTACAAGCAAACTTCGAGCCTCGTGGTGCAAAAGCAGACAGAGCGAAACAAGTCATATGCTATGTTGTCGCCCACTCTTCAGATGGTACTGCTAAAGAGGTTACAACAAGATACCTTCGACGACGGACTTGGCCCGGGAAAACGAAGGGCTTCCGAATGCCTCTGGAAAAAGTACCCGTAGGTCCACGCGGGCACGACATCGCTTTCGACTGGTTCGGGATGGTAATGCGTGGGTACCAACGAGCCCACAAGAGTAAAACAGCCGTCGACAAGCTAGAAGAAAGCCGAGATCTGCAACCACACCAACCCGAAAAGAAGAAAATAACCCAAACCGTCGACACTCTCCAAAGCCTCCGAACCTCCCCCGAATTCGTCCTAGAACGCTTCCTCCGCCGCGAAGAAGCCCTCCGTCCCGGTGCCGAACCCGTTCGAACCTTCATCGCTGGGAAAGGCGCCCGGGCTAAAGAAGAACCCGTCTTCCTGCGAGCAGATGTGCTAAAGTGCCTTTCCGCCGAAAGCTGGCACAAAGAAGGCCGCCAGACGAAACCGGGCGCGGTAGCCCTCAAGCGTGTGCCCATCCGCGCCGTGACACTCACACGGAAACGCGAAGTCGACGAACTACACCGCCAGACCGGCGAAAAACCACTTCAGGGGTTGTACTCGCGCGACCAGACGGAGTTTATCATCCCGCCGCCTATTCAGGATGGCCGCATCCCCAAGAACGAATATGGCAATATCGATTGTTTCGTGCCCAGCATGGTCCCCGTGGGTGCAGCGCATGTTCCCTTACCTGGTACCGTGCGGGTGTGTAAGAAGCTCGGCATTGACTATGCGGAGGCAGTGACGGGGTTTGAGTTTGGGTCGAAGATGGCTGTGCCGGTTATTCAGGGGGTTGTTGTTGCAGCTGAGCATGAGGATTTACTTAGGGATGCTTGGAAGGTTGAGGCCGCGGAGAAGCAGAAGAAGGAGGAGCTTAAGGCCGAGAAGAAGATTCTGCAGACGTGGAGGAAGTTTTTGTTTGGGCTACGGATTATGGAGCGGGTGAGGGATGAGTATGGAGGAGGCGGGGAGGATCCAGCTGCCGACTGGGAGCGCGATTCGCATAATCCTTTCGCCGTGCAGAAGAAGAAACCAGAAGGGAGATCGGATGATGGTCTTGATGAAGAACCTCTTGGTCGGGACTCGTCATATAACGTGATCGATCATGGCGGTGGCTTTCTTCTTCCTGGCCAGGAAGATGATGCGGACGATGGGTTGATTGTCGAGCACCATGATCAGCAGCGGAGTCATGCGGGTCCGTCTCACACTGATGCTGATCTCCCCGATGATAACGAGCCATTTGAATCTGAATCTCCTGCCGTGGACTCCCCGCCTGTGTCTATCTCCTCAGGCTCAGATGACGAGGTGGATAATGGCCAGGGCGAAGACTCACAACCTGAATCTGTACCTCGCCCGATGCGACGAACGCGAGGCAGAGGCAGAGGCCGTTGATGGAATGAATGAATGTACACCACCCATGTCGCTGGGACTGGAAAGGGGCTGTGTATTGTATAGTATGCTACGTGCCAATGCCAGCAGTCTCTGGTCTCTTGTGATAAGTAAAACTGTCCCGAAATCAGACCTGGAAAAGTTCCTTAATATAGCAATGATCTGTAGGGATTGAAGAATTTTTTTAGAAAAAAGCTTCACATAATGTAATGTTCAACAGATACTCCACATCTTACTATATAGGACAAACATCAGGCCAGCTGTCAATGATGACCACTCTAAGCTTGTCTTGGTTGAAAAATTAGTTCAGTTTTCCTCGACCATAATGCAAAATGCCAATTCTTTCTTCTATTCTGGTTCTATGTCTACGGTCTACAGCCAAAGGTTGTTGATAGAATTAAACTATGCAAATTGGTTCGTTCTGTAGGATACTGTCTCCTGGAAGTATGGAGAAAAGGAAACGAAACTACCCTGAGGCTATATGATTTCCTATTACAACATACTCAAAATCTCCCAAAAGAATAAACCACTAAAACGGTTACTGTTCGGATATCGCCCGATACATCATCCCACACAAATTAGCCAAGGCGTTCTCTCTTCCGCTTCTTTGGCTTAAATCAAACCAGTGCGTGGAGCTCACATATAACATATGTGTAGGCGTGGGACTATCGAAATCCTGCATATAGTCATCACTCATGTCCATTTGGAGGAAACACACATAACGCTGTGTGGCATGAATGACTATAATACTGCCAAGGTTGTCAGTTTGTAGTTCAAATGAAACACGTTGCCAGCGATGACATTTAGACCTTCGATGTCTGGAAAATCCGACGGCAACTGATCTCACCTTTGCTGTGTATCTCCTGTTTCCTTGAACAATCTGGTCGCCAGCCCTTCGCAGACCATCTGTGCAAGGCTCCTATCGGAGATAATAGGTCGCCTATTTTGAAAACTCTGAAATTGCGTCTTCGCTTCCAAGACTGCTACATGATTGTCTGCAAGCATGAAACCTCCACCTGGCTTTTGGCGTCGCAAACAAAGGCCACCATCGTCAATGGCAACTATCTGCCGGTTCTGAATCGATGAAGTCTGGCTGGACTACTTGTCGTCTGATACGCGTGGACTGCCTTCCCGCGGTATCATTGTCAAGCTCGCCATCGTCTTCTCCCTGAATTAAGGGTAGGTCTCGCGCGCGGCGGTCATGGCTCCCTTTAAACATAGCCATTGCTGCCCAGATTTGTGCCAGAGAGATTCCATAACTAGAATTTCGCACCCAGCTGTGTTTACTTTCAGCCATAAATGCCAAGTCGGGTCCTTGCAAGAATGATGTGATTTCATTCGACAAAGGTTGCATCTCAAAGGGTGCGTATTGCGATAGGATGGGAAGCAGATTGTGTAATGGCTCTCGCCTGACCACACGATATCCGAGCAAATGAGCTCAACCCCAGGAACTGGCAGATACAGTTTCTAGCTCCGAAAAACGTCTTTGCACCTTCGGCTTGGAAACGAGTCCTGAAGGCGGAGTCAGAGGTGACACTACTGAAATATGGAGTCGTATGCATATTTATCTATGTTTCAATCAGAGGTTGGAAAAGGTTGCCATCCTCCCCCCCCTTCTAGATGAAGAAAAAAAGGCCTCACAGTTGCTCCCACCTAATGCCTAGCAGCCCAGGGAGCCTTGTGCCCAACCTGTCCATGCTTACATAGTCGAGGCGGTCAATTGTGAATCCACTAGGCGGTGAAACCCATCTGCTGGCATTATTTGTCTATCATCTGGACAGAACCATCGTCCCTTGTAGTCAATCCAAGTAATGGCGGCTGATGCTGGGCCAAAGTCTCTCCGTGAAATTGCGCGTAACTACAGTCGTTTTCTTGTCAGTCCTCTCCAACGGACCTTACGCCATCTTGATGTGGTGGGGGTGTTGATTCAAAGATGTCGCAACTATCCCTGTTGTCAAACCTCAAATACGGCCTCCCTAGGCCATAAACAGGAACCTTGGTTTTTGTTATGGTCTAGTGGAAAAGTACGCTGTATTTCGTTCAACACCTGTCTACGCAAAATCGACTCATAATGACAGGAACAATGATGATCAAAAGCCCACGCCTGCCTCTACAGAGTTGACTAAAAATGACACAAACAAGAAGGACGAAGGGCCTAATCCGAAGCCACTTGTACGGAGCGATGCTGAAGTCTTTGCTACAGATTGGTTTCCTGAGACAACGCGTCGTCGTCTCATCAAAATTCTGGTAGGTGAGGATTGCCCATTTACACATTTCAGGTAAGAACTACATTTTGGTAGTATAGCCATGATATCTACAAGGGTGACTGACCACTCTACCGAGCAGCAAAGGACCTTCATTTTTTTTTCGACCGTCGGTCTGTTCATCGACCGGAATATATCGTGTTTTATCACCATAAGGAATCGATCGATCATGCCAACAATCTCTCACCCTCGTTATTAGGCTATGTACACTACACAACGATCAATGGAGCTCGCCATCGGCAATTTTATCCTTGTCCAGGTCCAAGGGGAGCTACGAACAAAGTTGGTTGAAGTATTCATCGAAAGCGACTAGCTCAAACAACCCCAGAGGAATGGACCGAAGATCCATATTTCGTGTGTCACTTGTTAGCTCTCGCGCAGCTTCAAGAGCGCAAGCTCAATTCACCAAAACCAATCATTTACACCGTAAGTTCTTTGTCTGCTTGCATTTTTAACGGTGTATCGCATCCCAGCTGATCCGCTCTTAGTCGTGTCTTCTCGTTACCAAGCTATTAGAACGGGAATGTATCCTACTCTATGAGGCTCAAATCACTACCGAGCTCCTTAGTGCGCTCGGGAATTGGATGGGTACAACAGTCCCCGTCCAATGGCCTACAATACAGCGGAAAAAAAATCCCCTATTAGCCCTATGATACGTTTGCTAGCCGAATCATAACAGAGTTGGGGGAAACCAGCCCCTTGCCTTCCCACGTTCTTTCAAATGTCTCAGATGATGTGGATGACGGCGATGAGCGCGGTGGGAAAAGATCACATGAACGAGAAGATTGTGGGTCATCTAAACTGATGAGGATTTGAAAAAGAAGAGCGGGTCTGTAAAATTTATCACCAAATTGGAGGTCTCCTTGGGCCATTTTTAGGGGCGTTTTAGGGGGGGGGGGGGCATTGTATCAATATTTTGCATCTCCCGAGGATGAGTGATGACTATGTAACCGGGACCTTTTAATCCGCTTGTGTTTCTTTTCAACACATACACCTTTTCACTATTGTAAGCCATTCCAACCTGAACACGTCTAGCTAAGTGTGTATCAAAAGCTCCGGGGTACTTGGTCTCGAACTAGTTACTCTGTACTACTAGGCCCTCAATTAAAATCGATCTCTTGCAGTAACACACCGACATGGTTTAATCTACATAATCAAGGAGCGACGTTCAATCGTGAAGAACTAGATTTCCTCCGACCCTGTTCATGGTGGACAAGGAGTTCTTCACGAGCAAGAAACTGTGACTATAAGCTCGGTATGAGAAGCAAGGCGCAACCCATTAGAAAGTTTCTTCAACGACTGCAACGAAGACAAAGCAACTAGCAAAAGACATGGCATTCAACGTCCGCGTAATCCCTACATCTAGTGCAGATGAGAAACAAGCATACATTGTCTCATCAAGAGGAACATGGATGAGGCAGTTGGGAGATCACCGCTGGAGGAACCGCCTGGGGGAGAACTGCCACCACTCGAATCATGACCGGAGCTCTCATTCTCGACGCCACTCTCCTCTGGATGTCCATCTAGAGAGAAAATCCCTCTTGAGAATCTGCCAAGTCTTCACGAACCAGTTCACCCGTGACATCTAAGCCACCTCAGTACCATTGAATCTCAAAACGGAAATGGGGAAGCTCAGCAGCTTCGGCTCAAACGCCATGTCCTGAAAAAAACGAACACCATGCCTGTCAGAGCAATCGGGCTGAGGGCATGCTCTCAATCATATTGACACATACTCTCCTAGGTAGAAGATACTACAGCGTGGGGGGGGGGGGGGGGAGGGGGGGGTCTTGAGATGTGTACACTGTATTCATCACAAATCTGCGGCATTCTTCTCATTCTTCTACCGAGGAGAGTACTTGTCAATATGATTGAGAGCATGCCCATAATCTATGTGAAGACCTTAATGTAGAAGCATCATGATGGTTGATTGGTTGCTTAAGAGAGCTAAAGAGAAGAATAGCAGCAGAAAGCCATTAGAATAAAATTGATTGGGATACATGCATGGTCGTGGATATTCGTGGATACCGGAGGCAATGTCGCATGGAAACCGTTAACACATAAAAAGAGGCAATTATTGAAGCAAAAGCCGCTGAAAGTGGGATAGAGCTACGTGAAAGGCAGAGAACAAGAGATGCACCATGACCAAAATTAGTCCGATGAATTAGACCTCTTGCTGGGTCACGCTGGGCGCATGATCAGTCTTCTCGTCCATTCCAACATCGGCAGCATAGGTGCTGTGAGGCTTCCACTTGGAGGAAGTGCGAGGAGTAGACTCTTCCATCATCTTGTCAACCTGCTCAAGGGTCAGGCCCTTGGTCTCGGGAATGAGGAAGTAGGTGTAGACAAAGGCGCAGGAGCACAGAGAACCCCAGATGAAGAACACCTTAGCGCCAAGGTTACCCTTGTCGGCATCCGTCATGTACGGAGTGATGACCGCGATGATGCAGTTCCAGAGCCAGTTGGAGGCGGTGGAGAGGGCAACGCCGCGGGACCGGATGGGCAGAGGGAAGATTTCACCGATCACGACCCAAGCGCCGGGGCCCCAGGTGCTGGCAAAGAAGAAGATGTAGATGCAAATGAAAGCAATCATTGCACTGACGGCCTGGTGATTCTTCCCATCGGTGACACCAACAATGGCGACAATGAATTGGCAGATAACCATCCCCAGGGCACCCCAAAGGAGCAAAGGCCGACGTCCGTATCTCTCAATGGTGTAGAAGGAGACTGGAGTAGAGAAGACATTGACAATCGTGGTGATCATGCTCATCAGGAAGGGGTCATTGATTGTGCCAAGTTCCTTGAAGAAAGTGGTACCGAAGTAGAAAATGAAGTTCACACCAGTCCACCTATGGCTCATTAGTTCATGTTCACTAGTAGGGCGAGGGAAGTGAGACATACTGTTGCATCATCTGCAGCGAGGTGCCCAGGACGGTACGACGAAGGTTGCTGTTAGGGTGCCAGAGACTTCCGCTAAAGCAGCTGAGCCAGGTGCTGAAGTATCCACCCTGGGGGATTGCCATTTGTTCGTATTGGTTGTTGGCATCGATTTCATTCAACTCCTCCTCGACAAAGTGTGAATCCTCGGGCTGTCCACGGACACGGGCTAGCACAGTGCGAGCCTTATCCTTCTGGCCCTTGCGGATGAAGAATCGGGGGGACTCAGGCAGCATGAACAACCCGATTGCCAGAATGACAGCCCAGAGCATCTGAAGGCCAACGGGGATACGGTACGACCCACTGTCTTTACGGTCCTGGGTACCATAGTTGACGCACGAGGCCAGCATCAGTCCAATGGTGATGCAGAACTGGTACCCCGAGACGATGGCACCGCGGACCTTGCGCGGCGCAATCTCAGACATGTAGAGAATGATGATGGCGGAGACAAATCCAATACCGAAACCGGCAACGACACGACCGGCAACGAGAAGTCCGATGCTGGAAGAAGCGGTCTGCAAAGCGACACCAACGATAAAAATAGCACAGCCAGCGATGATAGTGATCCGACGACCGAACCAATCAGCCAGATCACCGGCGATGAGGGAACCAAAGAAGGTTCCAGCTGAGAGGATGGAGACAATGAGTGACTTGCGGGAGGACGGTACGACGAAAAGATTTGATGGGGTTGTGGCGGGGTCCTAGATATGGTTAGTGGGATTTTAGGAACTAGTAAGAGACATAAGCAACCCACCAGATGCTCGAAGTGTTCGATGAAGTATTCCATGCCAATCACACCGTTGATGTAACCAGAGTCATAACCGAAGAAGATACCACCAAAGGCAGCAAAGGCACACATCAAGTAGGCCTTGAATGTGACCGGGGCCTCGACGCGGGTTGCATCGACCGGCCCAGAGATGACCGCTCCACCAGCCATGGTAGCGACTCGATGAGGGTAGAAGTGTTTAAAGAAACCAGGAGAGAGACGAAATGAGAAGTCTCCAAGCAACGTTTGGTAGAGTGAGAGATGGAGATGGAAGAGTCGAAGAGGAAGGGACTAGGGGGGGGGAAAGAGAATATTTATATTCTCTTTCCTGGGTCATCCCCAGATCTTCCCCATGTCCCGGGGGAAAACAAAAGCAAAACTACCAGGAAGAAAAAAAAATTTAAAAAAAAATCTCTCCTCTAATCCATATTGGGCTTGGACACTGTCGGCATAACATATCGCAAACCTAGAAATCGGCTGGAATGACTGTGTAGCCAAGTCGGCTCTAGAAACATGACCACGCGATAGAAACGGCAAGTATAGAAAGCCGGGGAAGTGCTGCACGGCCCAAGCCGTAAAACTGTGGGCTTCACATGATCTGATTGGCTATAATCCCCAGACATAATCCACTATCTACTAAAGGTGAAAGAAAGACTAGCCAAGGGAACCTCTCAAGCCAAAACAGAGCCTCGGGGGTCAGAAACCGGAGATGTCCACTTTGGGATAGAGCGTCCGCGGGGAACCCAGTTCTGATTGGCGAGTCTACCACGTGCCCCGCAAATATAAACATTTTTTTGGGTTTTTCCTGTGACTCCCACAGTCCACCCTAAGAATATCGTACCTTTATTTTTTATGTTATCTATGCCTAAGTCATCTCTTGGGTTAACTTCTGAGGCAATGAAAAAAAAAGTGGCTTCGGGACGAGTCTGGTGACCTGAAGGGACTGTAGTTCACAATTCAACCCTTCCTAAAAATGATGACTCCATTTTCCGTTGGATGTTCACATCAATGTCACGTTGAGGGCAAGCCGTCCAAAGCACAGACCGTAAGGACGCCACAAAATCCCACTCTCCCCTTTTACTTTTGACGAAAAAGACCAGTCTTGGCAGAAGACACACTGACTATGAGTATGGACAGGGGATATGGAGTGGAGGAAACGTACTCTCAGTAAACCAGGGTTATGACTGGTCACTACTTTTACTCTATCAAGTGTTTGTGTGCGGAGTCCCCTCCGCCAAAAGATCCAAAGACGAAGTTCAATACTGCCAACAGGGCATGCAGTTCTTGCTAAGCCAGTGAGTGGGTCCGAACATAAGATTTCCGGCATTTTCCCACGGGGAAACCAGCCAGTTACACCCTGGGGACCCGAAATCCCTTCACTTTTCATCTCCGCGTTTTATCTTGGCTATCACGTGAAGTCAAGGTTTTCACAGTCTGTCCCGTGCCAAAGACCGCCACAAAATGAATCACCGGGTAATTTTCGGAAGATTGGGGTGCTTGTTGTCTTGACTGCTTTGGCGCTGGCTGGACAGAGCGCTCAAGTTGATGCTATTCGATGTAAAAAATGGGATTCTATCCAACATCGGAACTTGTCCTGTTTCCTACCCAACTCTAGAGTGACCAAAAACAGCAAATGCTACCCCGTGTTCCATCCACAGGTCTACGCTCGGCTGACGAAGCACAAAGGGATCCATGGGAAAGGTGCCATGTCTTTTCGGCTGAAAGGCTGAAATGGTGGCATGAGTGATCCAGAGTGACCCAGAGTGACCCCACATAGACCGTATGGGGACCGAAATTGGGAAACTGGGGAACTGAGGAACTGAGATTTCCCCGACCGAAAAAAAAAAACGAAGAGAATGGAGTGAGCCGAGGGAAGCATTTCCGATGCCGGTGAACACTTTCCGTTAGAAGAAGAGGTTTTTGTTCCTTTGTGAGGGGGACAATGTTGATCGATGTACAGGATCTGAGATCTGACTCGGTAGTTCCTAAGATATACTTGCATGCTACTCCATGCTCACAAGGCCTTGAAAACATGGAGAAGTCGCCGGATTTCTCGGCCGTAAATTAGAGCCTTTGGGGGGATAAAAACTACCCCGGAACTTTCAGCGGGACAGATTTGGATTATTGTCTTAATCAAGTTCCTCTGGATTTTAACTGGACTCGAGTGTGATTCGTGGCGTTCCTTTTGGTTCACTCTCACAACATACTCTGACACATCGTTTGAGGAGAGTGGATTGGATCTTGACCGTCCTACGTTGTACTCCGGGCAGGGGGTCTCGAGTCAGGGACCTGAGTGTTCGGTTGCACCTCAAGATTCCCCTCCATGGCTCCTTGCTACACCGCTATGTTGTGTTTTTCTATTTTCCAAAATCAACATGATAACCCAAAGTCATAAAATTGGTGTGTGTGTAGAGACAGGTGACTCAGAAACTACACGTCTTGTCGATGAAGATCAAGTCCGACCAGCCCGCCTGTCTGTCGCCAATCCTCAATCTCTTTCACATAACTCCTAATCCCCTCTCCCCAGATACTGAAGTGTGCGGCTAGTAAGGCTTCACCTTCGTCAAATTGTAGCCCCTCCCGATTCAAGTACCCCGGAGTGCAATTCATCATACCCCCGAGGGCTCGCGCTCTCATCAAAACCTTGGAAGTCCATTCTCTTTCGGAGCCAGAGCTTGGCTCGACAGTAAACCGAGTAACGGTGACATTTGGGTTTCGCTCCGAGGTTAACTGGCCGGCTTCCGAAATGATGTGGGCAACATGAACGGCAAGTTGATCGAGAACATAGACTTGGTTGGCTGACGCTCCCGTTTGATACGGACCCGGAAAGAAGAGGTTAGGAAATCCGTTGGTCATTACTCCATGGAGTGAATTCGGCCCTTTGTGCCATTTTTCCTGGAGGACCTGGTTGTCACGTCCGGTGACAGTCAGATCCCCACGATCGGCACTACCTCCAAGATTGTAGCCAGTCCCAAAAATGATGGCATCCAGACCATATTCTTGGCCATCTGTCAAGATCCCTCGATCGGTCACAGTCCGGACCCCTTTTCCATGAGTGTCCACTAGGGAAACATTGGGCCGGTTGAATGCTGGGAGAAAATTGTCACTAAAGCATGGTCGTTTGCACCACCCGGGATACCAGGGTTTCAACCCCCGGGCCGTTGCTTGATCGGTCACTGTGGCTTCCACGCGACGGCGGATCGCTTCTTGGCGGTGCAAGTCCAATGGATGCATCCGCGTCAGATGGTTCGGGTCAAGACCAGAGGGACTCCCGATGAGGACACTGAAAGATTGCATCTTGGTCCAACCATCATCGACAAGATCTATTTCTGGGAGGGGGTCCTCACTCGAGAGAAAGGCGTTGAAATTCTCCATGCGCTCTCGTTGCCACCCGGAGCCGCCTTCTTGAACCATTTTCGCCCACCAGGTGCGGTCGGTGAAGTGATTGTGACGCCAATCAACGGCAGACGGTGTGCGCTGAAAGACAATCACTTTCTTTGCCCACTGCGCAAGGTGTGGGATCGCTTGGATGGCAGATGCACCCGTTCCGACAAATCCAATGGTCTTGTCTTGTAGTCCATGCAGGATTGGGCAGCTTGGGCTTCCTCCAGTATACTCATAGTCCCAGCGTGAGGTGTGGAAAACCTTCCCCTTGTAGGTCTCAAGTCCGTTCAACTTTGGGATCTTCGGGGAATTCAGCAACCCGGTCGCCAGGATCACGAAATCGGAATGTATGGCAGAGGGTGACTGGCCATGTGGGGTGACGTGGACTGTCCATTGACAATTCCGGTCATTCCAAGCTAAGTTGTTGACGGTGGTCTGGAACAAAGCCTGATCACGGAGTCTCCATTGACCAGCAATGCGATTGGCGTGTTCTCTCAACTCAGGCCCGGTGACATATTTCTGCGACGGCATGTACTTTGTTTCCTCTAGCAAGGGCATATACGTGTAACTTTCGACATCACAGGCCAAGCCGGGATACCTGTTCCACCACCACGTTCCTCCAAACCCACCTGCGGTATCCACGAAGAGGATCTCGGTTGCACGAAGAAACCCCGACTGGAGCAATCGCACTGCGAACAGCAGTCCTCCAAATCCAGCGCCCACAATGAGCACTCGGGTCTTCTTCTGCTCGAGCAGGTTGTTGTCGATCGCAACATTTCCGTTCGAATGGAGATTGTCCGTGGATTCATCAGTCAAGCCCACATATTGAGTTTGTCCATCAGGGCGCAGGCGTTTCTTGCGCTCCACATCATATCGAGCTAGTGTCTTCTGCAAATCGTACTCACTCATCTTGACTATCTTGGTGGTAGGTGGGCCAAGAGCAGGAGCCTCTGGGCCAGAAATAGATTTCCCTCGCATTTTGGAGTGAGAATGAATCTCTGCGTCCAAATGAGCAAGTCGAACAGGGGGTTATAAATGCCATCGTGAGTTGCGTATCGGCTGTTCAATGAGATGCATGTTTAGCAAATCGTTTGTGTTTCATAGGGGAATTCCAGCAATTTAGCACAAACTGAGAACAAACAGCCAAGCCGAGCAAACAGCAAAAATGAAATGGTCCTATCCATGAAGTATATGTGAGCTAGAAATTCCGAAAGCAAGGGACCCAGATCCACTCCTAAGAAGCCTTCGTAGACCCTCGTGTATATTAGAATCGGACCAAACAAGCTATCTATTGGCTTCGGAATTACCGCAATAAGCTACAGGAACAGAGTGAGCACTGACAAGATCCGTTTGGGTTTGGCAGCCCTCCAATCTGGCATTTCCCACTTCGTTTACATGGAAGAATCTTAGACAAAGAAACAGATCTGACCCCAAAACAGGTAAAGAGGATAGATTGTTAAGTGCAAATTATCTCTTTAGATCTAATTGGACCTGTTTAAGCCACATGGCAGCACTAATATTCCACGTGAACCCTGTGGCTCAAGCCCCATAGCGCCCTGGCGTAGCTTAAAAATAGTCAGTGCTTTTTCCAGGCACACGATGTTGAGGAGACAACAAAAATTGTAGATCACGCCAAAAAAAAGGAACCAATTAGCATGCGCGTCTCATCCCGTGCGCTGTCATCTTTAGTAGCCTTTTCTTCTGTATCGCTCGCTATAGAAACCGGGTATTTCGAGTTATCTTTCGCGCCAGTCCGAAAGGCCTCGTGACCTGCGATGTGTATGTAGATATGAACTCCTCAACCTGCGTGAACAACCATTGCGCAAGGGGAGGTAAGGCCTACTACAAATCATGCGGTGGAAGCATATCCTGCATGGGCCAGAAATATCCCGGGCCTCAATACGATTCGCAATCGCCACGGGCCGACTCGACGCCGCTTAACCAGGTCAACCAACACAATGACACCCTTCCCCCAAGCTAACCTACACCAAACACCTTGTGCCAGAGACAGTAGACGGGCTTCAACTGCCGAGGATAGGATGTTGAATACTCGAAGAAGCGCCTTCAAGTCAGTCTACTAACAAAATTACTGACCTCACGAGGACCCGCTATGATTTGACAGCTGAGATGACATAGACTGAAAGTAACAATATATAGGCTCCAAAGAGACACGGCACATATATAACAAGACGTTTATTGGACAGTTGCCCTTTGGGCTTAGCCCCCGGGCGTTGATAAATTATGTGTGTAGTTGGAACACTAGAAAGCCTGAATCTGCATCTCCTTGCCATTCGATTTGAATGAGTGACGGAAAGAGGGTCAAACTTTTCTGGGCTCTGCAACATAGTAACATAGTACATTTTCCCTAATGGAATTTTTTAATTGTGTACCAAAACAGTCAAATCTGGCTACGGGGAGAATCACCCCTACAACCACGAGGACGATCCAACAACGATCCATGAATGTCCATGGGGCTATATAACAGAAATGCGGGAGAGTTCAAATCTCAACTCGCCTAGCGTTGGGCTGTGGCGACGACCAATGTGATTATTCTGGAATTTAAACAGAGATGGTTATGAGTTTCGTGCTAGATGATTGAAAGAAACTTCCAGTACAGGGGTCTTGACAATAAGCAACATTATTCAAATGTAGAAATAGATATGCAGGCAGTCCAGGCTTTCTTATAAACAATGATCATCTGTCAGGAGGGAACTTGAATGACACTCACAAGCATCGATAAACGTGCTCGGTCCAGGCAGCAATGTCGGGAAGTCCTAGCGGCTCAAATCCGCACTCTCTAGTTACGATAAGAACTGGAGTAGTATTAGGGGCTTCGTAAGATAGGAGAAGTAGCTTGGTTTCTAGGAATCTGAATTCTCCGAGATACCTAGAAGTGCAGGCTCTAGCTTTACGAAAATTCGTCCATGGCTTCTATAGAATAGACTAACTTATATATAGAGGTGTAAGTCTAAACCCCTACTCCCTATAAACTGTATAACGAAATTTATTAGAAATATAAGTACCGAGTAGATCTTTAAGAACTAGAAAAAGTTTAGCTCTATTCTCTACCTAACTATAATTTCTCACCCTCACGTTGTAAAAGGTTATGCCTGGGCGCACTCCCTTCCGCTCGGCCAAAAGACCATCATATCAGAGCTCTTGCTCTGACATGCCCAGGACCAACATATACAGTAGCGCACGTAGTTTATCTGTGATCCACGTAGCAAAAGCGGCAAACCACTTGGCCTAGTTCTTGAAAACCTAGGACCCTGTAAGAGTATACAGTATTTAAGTGTAAGGCCTATTAACCGGTAAAGATACAACGTTGAGAGAGGAGAAGCCAAGACTAATTCTTGCCAGAATTAAGAAGGACCTGGGGGTTCCTAGACTATAAGGAAAATTATCAATACGCTCGGTAATCGATTATAAAACGAACCCCACTCGGTTCGATCCTATAGTTAGTCTGATACGACATTGATCAGTTGATCCCTGTACATACCATATCTGTCAGGGTGCGGGCTGGCAGGACGGTATGATAGGAGAGGACTGGTAGGAACAGGTCGTAACAGATCAGATTCCCATTGACAGGCACGGGCAGGGGCAGGCTAATATACAAGACGTAGCTCGAAGAGCTACAACAGGATCTAGAACTGAAGTTCAGATAAACAGGTCAGAGATCACGTGCCGTGATCTTCCTCTAACTAAGCATCACGGTTCGCACCGTGACAATATCCGTTACAAAACTATGCCTATTCTAGGTAAGCTTTCTCTATTAAAGAACAGCTTCGTTTAAGACTAAGAAGCCCACTAAGCTCGCTAAATACCGCTATTGACTAGGTTTCAAAGCTATGCTCGATCATTAAATAAAACCACCGCTCTTCTTAAGAGAGAAGTTGATGATTTCAGCGCTGTAAATAAGAAGCAGAAGCAAAAGCGTACTAGATCCCGAAAGCAGATACTAGCCGAAGTAGGCCTTAGTGTATAAGAAGCTTCTCGATTAAGTATTGAGCCGGTGGGAGCAGTTAGAGAGCGCCTCCCTCGGGCGAAGCAGCCCTTCGTTAGCTTTGCACCCAGTTGTACGGGCCCCCCAATTATTTTGTGGGTGTAAGAATTCAGGACATAGAATTGCTAAAGGCCCAGAGAGAGGGTGACACTCTACGAGAATTAATTTAATGGAGTTATGGTGGTGATAAGATGAATTTGAATGTAGTGCACGAAATTTGGTGGATCACTCGTTAATGAAATACGCGAGTTAAAGCCCTACATGGATTCTAGGGATCAGTTTCGCTTGGAAAGATGTAATACGCAACTTACATATCGGACTGATATTTGGTGATGGCAAATTTGCTTCAGATTGAAACCAATAAATGTACTTGATCCAGCTAGTACATACAGCATTAACTCCCCATGAAATGCACATTCCCAGGGCATGCTATATGATGCCTTGGGATCCACCAAATCCCAACTCCTTTGAACTCCTTCTAACCGCAAATCGCAAATCGAACAGAAAAATCCATCCTTTGCCTCAAGACTACCAGCATCTTAAGGCCCGGATCCGATGTTCAATGAACATTGTAGGTGTCAAGTGCTTGCTGGACATCACGCAGACTGTTCTTGTCACCGTATGCGTCCATCAGCTGTTGATTTCGCACCAGGCGTTCCTGTTCTTCCAGCATAGATAGTTCCCGACGTGACTTGACTGCGACATAGTAGTTATAGATGCCAAACCCTGCACGTGACAGAATCAGTACAATCCTTACCACATTGTTGTGGGAAGACTACGCGGAGATTAAACATACCGAGACCAATTGTAGCTACTAGAGGAAGCAGTCTAATGCAAACAGAGTTAGTTTATCAACCAAAAAAGTAGGGGCGGCACAACTTACAGCCGCACATTCCGGGGCTTGGCGCTAGGGGTTGGGGGGTTTCTGTATGGTTTTTTGGCATCTGGGAGAGTAAATTGAGACATCACGCTGTGCATGTGTGTTGGCTAGTGACCGTGGAGAGTGTAGTTTGAGTAAATCGGAGGTTTGGAATGGAAAAGTAAAAAAAATAGTGAAGAAGTTAAGAAGTAGTAACTAGAAAAAGCGAAATGCGGGGAATCGTGACGTGAAAGGTCCGAGGATCGCTTCCGAGGATCGCTCCCGAGGTCTTATATCTGAGGCAGTGATCAGGCCACATTCATCCGGCATCATACAATTGCGTGGTGTTGTCCAATTTTTTAGCGTGTTACATTGAGATCATAATTGAATCACCGTGTCGCGCTTGATCCACATTAGGAAAAGATCAAAACCTCGTCGTCATAATCTCTAATTAATTTTCAACGGTTAACTTCCAAAAAATGCATTGATTTCCCAGAGGCATAATTAATATGAGACCTGAGATTTGAGACCTGAAATTTGACCATGCAAGCGCCTTAATTGCCGTTGTTCTGCGGCGCAGGGGTTGCTGGACCCTCCGGGGTCACATAAGCCTGGCATAATTGGTCAGCGCAGTCTTTAAAAAATTAGCCCACACGTCACACCTACTTTAGTCATTCCACCATCGACCACAAAGTCCGTTCCATTCACGAAGCTGCTCTCATCGCTGGCCAGGAAAACCACTGCGTGAGCCTGCTCGATGGGTTCACCAAACCGGCCAGTGGGGAAGTGCACCTCCCGACGGAGCCGCTTGGCCTTGTCATCACCCAGCCAGTCTTGTAAAAGAGGAGTGCTACACCGGCATGAGCTAGTGTCCAGGCAAATAAAATTGGAAAAACTTACTTCAGGGGTGCGGGGCACAGAGCGTTGAAACGGAATCCCTCACGGGCGTGAACGATGGCCAATTCCCGAGTCATCGCCAAGACCGCACCCTTGCTCGCCGTATACGCGAGCTGAGGAGTAGCAGCGCCGACCAAGGCGACCACACTAGCTGTGTTGATAATACTGCCCCGGGACTTCTTGTGACGACGAAGACTGAGGACGGCGTGCTTGCTGCCGAACCAGACACCCTTGACATTGATATTGTGTGTGAGGTCCCAGATCTTCTCGGGGGTATCGATGGCATCTGCATCGTTGGCGTGCATGATTCCGGCATTGTTGAAGATCACGTCAGTGCCTCCCCAGCTGTCCTGGTACTCAACCATTGCCTGGACATCCGACTCTTTGGACACGTCACATCGGATAGACTCGACTCGAGGAGCGGAGGGAACTACTTCCTTCACTTTAGCCAATGCCTTTTCAAGGGCGGGCTCAGAGACGTCGGCCATCAGGACATTGGCACCCTCGCGGGCGAAGAGAATACTGGTTTCGAGACCGATGCCACTAGCCAATTCCGAGATCGGTTAGAACTTTTGCGACGGTGCTGTACTTTTTGGGAATAAATCAATAGACATACCCGCCTGCACCTGTGATGATGGCATTCTTGCCTTGGAGACGTCCTTGGGGAGTAGTGGCAGCCATTATGACCTTATCTTGAAGCTCTGTTTGTACAAATGGAATCTAGGTTAGCAATGACTCAACCGCAACAATCACAATACCATGATACATTCATGAGAAAACGGTAGAGAAGAGGAGACTCACCTAAACCGAGAAAAATCGAGTCAACAAAAGGGTTGCTAATGTCCAAGTGTGTTGCACCGAAGGTATTACGCGGGGCAGTCTTGGGGCGTGGATCCCATTAAATAAGCGGTGACGTGGGCCAGAAGCGGTAAAGCGTCGCCGATATCTCGCTGATAAGCTTCCAAGATGTCCAGGTGCGTTGGCCACTTGCCCGGAATCCCTGGACTTGATTTAGTTGATTTAGTTGATTTGCCTGATTTGCCTGGCCCGAAACGTGACTCTTATCGTTCTATTCCCTCTTTATCTTCCCCTCACCCCCATTCTCGCTACAAGAGTTTGGATTCCCAAACTCCTAATCTCACTCTTTGGCCCCGATCCATCATGTCGAGCCCCGCGGACCTCGAGGTCACAGCCGAGAATGTTGCTGAGATCCTCCAGAATGACACAAAAGTCAAGGTGGCAGGAGTGGATGTGGATGGCATTCTGCGTGGCAAACTCATGAAGAAAGACAAGTTCTTATCTATCATCACCGAGGGTTTCGGCTTCTGCTCTGTCATCTTCGGCTGGGATCAACACGATGCGACGTACTATAAGGAGCTGGCCATCAGCAACAAGGAGAATGGATATCGCGATCTTGTCGCAGTCCCAGATTTACGCAGTTTCCGTCGCATTCCATGGGAAAACAATGTGCCCTTTTTCCTCATCAGCTTCTTGGATCCAGAAACCAGGAAGCCGGTGTGCGCCTGCCCGCGAGGATTGATAAAGACTGCGGCCGCTAAAGTCGAGGCGGCAGGGTATCGGGCGATGGCAGGAGGTATGTCCGATCGAAGACCAGGGCATGTGGGATTTAATGACTGATCAGGCTGATTTCTCTTCAGCCGAATACGAATTCTACCAATTTCGCACGCCAGGCAATCACTCCACCCCCGAGCAAGGCGCATCTGCAACGGCGGCCTTTCTCCAGTCGAATCCAGTCGAATCGTTGCCATCTGTCACAGACGGCATGTTTGGTTATTCAATCACTCGGCCTCTCCATAACCAAGATTACTACTATGGCATCTTCGACGCCTGCGAGCAGTTCCGATGCGATATTGAAGGGTGGCATACTGAAAGTGGACCAGGAGTCTATGAAGCTGTCAGTGGCATACGAGTGAATGGATCACATTGAGAATTGGGGCTGAACATCGTGATAGGCATTGCAATTTGGCGAAGCGAAAGACATGGCTGACAAGGCCGGGTTATTCAAGTGAGAGCGTTCTTTTGCCAGTGGTTCGGGTTGTTCTTTCATGATGGGTCATCGCTAACCAGGACGCTCGCATAGATACGTCGTAAAAGCATTCGGAATTAAGCATGGCATCACCCCATGCTTCATGGCGAAACCCCGACAAGGCCTACCAGGAAACAGCGGGCACATGCACATCTCGCTCGTCACAGCCGACGGAAAGAATGCCTTCATTCGCGATGCTCCGGATCCATCCCCCCTCTACCCTGATATCACTCATCTGTCCGACTTGGGTCGACATTTTCTCGCTGGCCTTCTCGTCGGCCTGCCCGATATCATGCCAATTTTGGCACCGACGATCAACTCCTACAAACGCCTGGTGGAGAACTTTTGGGCACCGGTCACTGTTTCTTGGGGACTAGAACACCGGGCCGCGTCAATCCGTCTGATCACCCCACCGACAGCTAGTCCGAAAGCGACTCGTTTCGAGGTGCGCGTGCCAGGTGCAGATACCAATGCGCATCTTGTCTTAGCGGCGATACTGGCATTGGGATGGCGCGGAGTCGAGAAGAAGCTCGAGATCCCGTTGCCGCCTCTTGCCCGTGGCGAGGACATGGGCGGTGCTAGTGATAAGGGTGTGCGTCTGGCCAAATCCTTGAAGGAGGCTATTGTTACATTTACACGGCCGGAGAGTGTCGCACGGGAAGTCTTTGGCGACTCATTCGTCGACCACTTTGCCGGAACTCGGGAACACGAGGTGCGCTTGTGGGAAGAGGCCGTCACTGATTGGTATGTTGTATTATCAACTGCGATATTCTTTTGGATGCTGACTTGACCTGTTCACAGGGAGATGAGGCGGTACATCGAGACCGTGTAAATTCTTTCTTGTTCAGCTTGAGGTTCCGATTTACAGAGAGGCGCAGGATCCGGAAGGCATTGGGTGAAGAATTGTACATAGTTGCACTGGCCTAGAGATGGGATTGTAAGGGCGTGCGAGGGCACAACAGTAGCAGGGATACTACCCTGTATATATACCAAATAACGTTCGCTCTTAAATACGACGTCATCGAAATACTCGCGTTCGGATGAATGTACACGATTTCGCTCCCGAGCAACATCTGCGATCACATGCCGATGAACACCATGTGACGCAGAAAACCTCCGGGACAACTCGGTCCGGATATGACTCTTGAGAACCCTACGAGATATGGATGATCAGAGTCAGCCGCGGCTGATTGGAGTTTCCGGTGCATACGGAGAGTATTTTTACGGCCACCTTCGGGTGAAGCAGGGGAGGTGAAAGATGGGATGAAAGATGCTCATGGTTTGGGACATTAGATTCAGGAATTGGTCATTATCGTTCTTAAACAAGGAGCCATATAACTGTCAGATTCCCTCCCCCAAGACTGAAATTAAGAGCCTGATAAAGACTCGGTGTGCGGCATATGCCGTTGCAAGTGAGATTGAGGGTGCCGAACATCAACCAAGATAAGCTTAAAAGGACGGGGAGCGGGGAATGTCGGCCGAGAGGAAGAGTTTCCCGTGGGAAACTCCTGAAGTCAACAGGTTCAACATGGGAAAAAATGTGAATCAAGGGCAACAAGGGCAACGTTAAAGAGACACGGTCAAATGGGGGTTCGGCTTATCGCTGCGGGTCCAGAACAACCGCGGTAACTTCTGTGACTCTGACGTATTTGATATCCTCGGGCAGATGGGCTATAGAAACAATATTAGGATTCGCTTTCCTCTGTTCTCTAATTTCTACAAATTATATTTGATACTGCTTCTGTACATGGAATACCCATAGTTTTCTATTCTATTCCATACCTCTACATCTTCTATACCCTCACAGATATCATGTCTCTTATCGACACACAGCTCAAGGATGTCGCTATCCTGGGCACCATTAACAATGATGCTCGCAAGATTCTAACCAAAGAGGCGTGTGCCTTTTTGGCTCTGTTGCACCGCACCTTTAACCCCACCCGCAAAGCTCTTCTCCAGCGCCGTATCGATCGCCAGGCCGAGATCGATAAGGGCCACCTTCTCGACTTCCTCCCCCAGACTAAGCACATCCGTGAGAATGATGCTTGGAAGGGTGCTCCTCCTGCTCCAGGTCTCGTAGACCGTCGTGTCGAGATCACTGGTCCAACCGACCGGAAGATGGTGGTGAACGCGCTGAACTCTGATGTCTGGACTTATATGGCTGATTTCGAGGATTCGAGCGCCCCGACTTGGGACAACATGGTGAACGGCCAGGTTAACCTGTACGATGCTATTCGCCGGCAGATCGATTTCAAGCAGGGTGATAAGGAGTACAAGTTGCGAACTGACCGCACCTTGCCCACTCTGATTGCTCGTGCTCGGGGCTGGCACTTGGAGGAGAAACACTTCACCGTGAACGGCGAAGCCATCTCCGGCGGTCTGTTTGATTTCGGTCTGTACTTCTTCCACAACGCCAAGGAGCTGGTCGCCCGCGGTGCCGGTCCTTACTTCTACCTCCCCAAGATGGAGTCACACTTGGAGGCTCGTCTCTGGAACGACGTCTTCAACCTGTCCCAGGATTACATTGGTCTGCCTCGTGGAACCATCCGTGGAACCGTTCTGATTGAGACCATCACCGCCGCATTTGAGATGGACGAGATTATCTACGAGCTCCGCGATCACAGCTCCGGTCTCAACTGCGGCCGCTGGGATTACATCTTCTCCTTCATCAAGAAGTTCCGCAACCACCCCACCTTCGTCCTCCCCGATCGTTCCGATGTAACCATGACCGTGCCTTTCATGGATTCCTACGTGAAGCTCCTCATCAAGACCTGCCACCGGCGTGGCGTTCACGCCATGGGTGGTATGGCCGCACAGATCCCCATCAAGAACGACCCCGCCGCCAACGACAAGGCCATGGAGAGTGTTCGTGCCGACAAGCTGCGCGAGGTGCGCGCCGGCCACGATGGCACCTGGGTTGCCCACCCTGCACTGGCCTCGATCGCCTCTGACATCTTCAACAAGTACATGCCTACTCCCAACCAGCTGTTCGTCCGCCGCGAGGAAGTGAACATTACCGCTACCGACCTCCTCAACACCCACGTCCCCGGCAAGATCACCGAGGAAGGCATCCGCAAGAACCTGAACATCGGTCTCAGCTATATGGAAGGCTGGCTCCGCGGCGTCGGCTGTGTGCCCATCAACTTCCTCATGGAGGACGCCGCTACAGCCGAGGTTTCCCGCAGCCAGCTTTGGCAGTGGACCCGACATAACGTCACCACCGCCGAGGGCAAGCGCGTGGATAAGGAGTTTGCGCTACGTCTGCTGCAGGAGCAGGCTGATGGTTTGGCGGCTAAGGCTGGCTCGGGAAATAAATACCAGCTTGCTGCTCAGTACTTTGCTGGCCAGGTTACTGGTGAGGATTACGCAGATTTCTTGACCAGCTTGCTGTACAATGAGATCTCCTCTGCTGGTAGTGCTGCTAAACTTTGAGCGTGGCAGTGATTTTTTATGATGATGAATACCCTTTGATTCTTTTGCCTGGCCTTGACTTGAATATGACCTGAACTACCATCTGCAGTTAGCATCGTTGTATTTAAAACTTTTAATCGTTCGATAATCTTCTTATCGGTGTAGGGCTGGATAATCTGTGGTTTAATATGCACCCTGTGAGTGGAAATAGCGTCAATGAGAGGTGTGAATTTCTTCGGTCTTGGGTATCAATCACCGTCCCTCGAATCTTCAGCCTCTCTGTCGGCATCTGATGCAGCTATAAGTGAAACCCCTCTGGATTTTTGAAAATCGCGGATAGGATATCCTATGACTTGCCAGAAGAGAAGTTTTTGGAACTCGATTCGCAATTTCGCGACGATGTAAAATACCTTTGGGTCTCTTAAGATGCTCAATCGGGCATTTATTGATCACCTAAAATCTACCTGGGCTTTGCTTCCAACAAGCCAATACCACAGATCATCTATTCTATATACTCCCTCTGAAAATTCACCTTCATTTCTCTATTGAATTTAACGTTGAGTATTTAAACATCCCAACCATCTCAAAGGCCAGCGTGCCGGCCAATAAAGTACTTAACTGTCTACATATCTTCTCTGTCTATAAATCGCTGAATGGTCATAGAATGTGTTCATTAAGGAGTGATATAGGCGAAATCGCCAAACGAATACACAACCAGCATTAGAAGCATTAAACTTTATCCCCCCGTCTTTCTCAGGGGCTGACACCCAAAAATTAAACTGTACAATGCAAATGCGAAGCTCCAGGCTCAAGCACTTTAGATGTATTCCCAAGCAACAGCGGTGGTAGTGTCGACAGGAACAGCCAGAGCATCGAAGCCAAGGCAGTCCTGGACCTTACCAGAGGGAACAGTAGCATTCTTCAGAGCAGCGAAGACCTGCCACCGGGGGGTAGCAGCGCCCCGACGGGAACGGCGGTAGCTCGTGGTACTGTTGGCACTGGTGGTACTATTGGTCGTCGGGCAAGCCATGAAGCCATGTGCACCCCGGCCCTTGAAGTTCCAGTGGCCGAAAGAGGTGCCAGGAGTGTACTCGAAGGGACCATTGGAGGAACCGGCCGGCTCGTAGGCGGAGTGGGGAGAGGTGAAGCGCAGAGCACCCTTGTTATCGACGTAGATGGCTTGGCCACCGGGGACCTCGACGTTCTGGATGTCACGTTAGAAAATGTGAATAGTGGCACGATACAAGGACCAGTATTACTAACCAAGAAGTGACCATCGGTAATGATGGTCTGGTTGGTATCGGGAATTCCGGGGATAGGAGAGTAGGTATGGGCGTTCCCACCGAGCCAGAAGTAGGTACCACCGGCATTGAGAGGCAGCAGGTGGATGGGAGAAGCCGAACGAGCAGAGAGAACGCCGAAGGCAGCGTCAGAGCTGTTGGACTGCTTGGAGCCGGAAACGGCAGCCACCAGAGGGGCGAGAGCGAGAAGGGCAGAGAACTTCATGATGAGGGAGAAAAGAGATACTTGATACTGAGAGAGATTTATCTACGAAGAAAGAGATTCGAGGGAACCCATCACGGTCATATATAAGATGGACAGAGAAAGGGACGTGCTTAGGCAACTCCACAAATGGATCCCTCTGACGAATGTTGAGATCGACATTTAAATCCGGTAGAGCCGAATGGAAAGGAAGAGGCAATCTCCTATCATTCCTTTAAACACGATATGGAGAGAGAGAGAGAGAGAGTGTGTGTGTGTGCAAGGAGTATAGGTAGCCGTGAGACCCAAAATGGGAAGAAAACCGAGTTGGGTAGTAGTGAGATATTAGCACAACAGCGCGATAGAATGTTTCTGTCCACTTTTTAGTCCATTAATGAATTTGCATTCAATAATTCAATCGGTAGGATCCACTGAACATCCGACTGAATGGGCCTGTTTCGGTTACGCCGCTGTACATATTGTTCATGTCCAACAGACAAGCAGATCGAATGAGTAGATATCCCAGTGTGTTGAAAACACACACTCTGAAGATCCTTTAAAGAAAACCCCAAAGACCTGTTTCAGAGACGCGATGAACGTTCAACAACTAATGATCGACATTTATCGGACGTCCGACAGATTTTGCCTAAGAATAACAAGGCGCCAACCTCTTAGATGCGCTCTATGAGGATCCACGATATCCACACTGTCTCAGTGACCTTGACATCATTGCCTAGTGCCTTTGGGCATGATCTGTTGGGAGCACCTTGTGGGCTGTAATATATTTTTAAGATGGAAGTTCTCGAATTTCTCTTAATCTGCTCCGGAGATGAAATATACACCCCAAGGTCGAAAGACTGACAATCAATTCGACGCCACCAACGTTAATATTTCTTATGTTGTATGCGTACGGAGTTCTCCATGCATCGATTTCCACACGGAGTACTGGGCTAGTTTTCTACCGAGACAGAATTAATATAGCCATCCGCTAGAACCTACTAGCATTGCCACCGTCTTGCCACAAATTGTACTTGTCTCACCTGTGAATGTGGGGTCGATAGTCTAGAACATGTTGTAGGACAATATCAAGGTATCTTATTCTGTAAAGTACAGGGGTTGTAGATGTTGGACGAAGTACTTTTGTAGCGAAATGATAACAGAAGATAGGATTGGATAATCTTCCAATCTAACAATCGACGATGTTTCCTGACCGGGAACACTTTGGAGGTGATGTGTGATGTGATGTCAGGTGACCCACCTTTTTCGTCCCGACGCGTTGGCGATTAGGACATAAAAAAACTATCGACATGTTTTGTCCGTGATTGATTTCAGAGAGACTGCAAGATTATGGGTATCCAAGACTGAATGGTTTCCCCACGTGCCAAGGTCGGAGCCTCGCGCTCGGCCAAATCCTCCAACCCCACGCATCGCGGCTATACGTCACTGCAGAATCCAACGATCGAACACTCAACCTCAGAGAGCAATCGGGAACAAAAGGATGAATTGGATACTCCTTCAAGTGGAGATGAATGCTCTGAGCAGGTTTATACAAAACTTCTACCTTTAAAACACGATAAGGCGCGAGATCCACGACCCTCGGATTCCAAAGCAAATGACCGGATTCTGACTTCCATCAATGTCCCCGATGACGAGCGTGATATTTCAAAGCACATTAACAAGCTTCTCGAGGTGGATCACACTGCGCTGTCGGACTCACTCGCCACAGATTTGGAGGAGGGATACTCGGGCAGAGACTATCTGGTTCTTAGTGATCGAGATAGTGACGACCATGGCATCCCACCGGACAAGGGCTGGTTGCTAAAAGACAAAGAGAACGAATATGAGAAGAAAGGCATGGACTGGAGGTCACTGTTCCGTCTGCATTCGTGGTGGAATATTGTCGGCGCGTTGACAATCGCCCTTCTGGTAGTCTGGCTTTCGATCAAGGGACTACCCTGGTCCTCTGCCGGAGCTGCCTTTGATGAATATGTAGGCCTTTTTTTTTAAAATTAATCCTTCGAACATCTAGAAATCAGCCACTCATACATCACAGCAAGCGGTTCCCTGGTACCCTACTCCCCTTGGCGGAACGAGTGAACAATGGAAGGAAAGTTATATCAAGGCCCAACACATGGTCAAAGAAATGACTCTTGCCGAAAAAGTGAACGTCACAACCGGAACAGGATGGCAAATGGGACTCTGTGTTGGAAATACTGGTAGGCCCTTGGTATCTCCTCAGTACGATGGTTATGCAAACACTGACGCGAACTATGTGGTCTAGGACCTGCTGAACACGTCAAATTCCCTTCTCTTTGCCTACAAGACGGCCCACTTGGACTCCGATTCGTGCAAAACATTACAGCCTTCCCCGCAGGAATCACCACGGGTGCGACATGGAACCGTGAGCTTATGCAGAAGAGGGGCTATGCTCTTGGAAAGGAAGCGCGGCTGAAAGGCGTGAACATCATTCTCGGTCCATCCATGGGGCCGCTCGGCATGATGCCTGCTGGTGGTCGTAATTGGGAGGCATTTGGTTCAGATCCGGTTTTGCAAGGCGTGGCTGCGGCAGAGACCATTCGCGGTATCCAGCGGAACGGGGTCATGGCGACGGCGAAACATTTTATTGGGAATGAACAAGAACACTTCCGCCAGTCGTTTGAATGGGGTACTCCAACTGCACTCTCGTCGAATATTGATGATCGTGCCCTGCACGAGGTCTTTGCCTGGCCCTTCGCGGAGAGTGTACGTGCCGACGTGGCTAGTGTCATGTGCTCCTACCAAATGGTCAACAACAGCTATGCTTGCGAGAATAGTAAGCTCATTAATGGTATTCTGAAAGATGAGCTCGGCTTTCAGGGATTCGTGCAGTCGGACTGGCTGGCTCAGCGCTCAGGCGTTCACAGCGCCATTGGAGGCCTTGATATGAGCATGCCCGGTGATGGCCTCCATTGGGTCGACGGTGTCCCGCTCTGGGGAAGTGAACTGACCCGTGCAGCGTTGAACACGTCTGTTCCCATGGAGCGTTTGAACGATATGGTCACTCGTATCGTGGCCGCCTGGTACCATTTCCAACAGGACTCTTGGGAACCCCCATCACCCGAGGGGGATGGCGGTCCGAACTTCTCCTCCTGGACGAAAGAGCGAGTCGGACACTTACACGAAGGCTCACCGGATAATGACGCAACAGGCGTGGTCAACAAATTTGTCGACGCACAAGGAACCGGCGAGCACGCTCATTCCATCGTTGCTCGCCGTATCGCCGCAGAAGGCACTGTGCTTTTGAAAAATGTCAACAATACACTTCCACTCTTGCGTACACAGTCCGCATCCGATGGCAAATACCGGGTCGGTGTATACGGTGAAGACGCTGGTCCCGGCCAAGGACCGAACGCTTGCGCTGACCGAGGATGTAATCAAGGCACCTTGGCCTCTGGTTGGGGTAGCGGGGCTGTAGACTTCCCTTACTTGATCAGTCCGTGGGAAGCACTGCAAAATGCGTGGCCGAAAGACTCTGTGGATGTGAAGGCTTACTTGACGAACAACGTTGCACCTCAAGACCTCGGAGCGCAGGACCTCTGTTTGGTTTTTGTCAACGCAGATGGAGGCGAAGGATTTATCCGCAGTGACGGCATTGACGCAGACAGAAATGACCTCTTTCTGCAAAAGAACGGCACTCAGTTGGTAGAAGCGGCGGCCAAACACTGCGGCGGTGGCCAAGGGAGAACCGTGGTGATTGTACACTCCATTGGTCCTGTTGTAATGGAGTCTTGGATTAACCTTCCTGGTGTGCACGCTGTACTGTATGCAAATCTACCGGGGCAAGAAAGCGGGAATGCATTAAAGGACGTTCTGTTTGGAGATGTCGATGCCAGTGGACGACTACCATATACCATCGGACGAAGCCTACAAGACTACGGCCCAGGGGCGCAAGTCCTGTATAAGCACACAGACCCATCCGTTCCACAGGTCAATCTTGACCAGGGCCTGTACGTTGATTACCGCTATTTCGACAAGTTCAACATCACTCCCCGATTCGAGTTCGGCTTCGGTCTGTCCTACACAACCTTCGACTATACTGCACTGAGCATAGAAAAACTGCAGAAGAAGTCCCAATGGCCTTCCAAACGGCCCAAAAACGAAGCCGACCCTCCCACATACGATGACAAACAGAGTGACCCTACTAGCAGTTTATTCCCCCCCGGTTTCCGTGCACTCCGCAAATATATCTATCCATACCTCGGGACCTTGGACGGAACCGAACCCGGCCCATACCCATACCCGGAAGGATACAAGAAACAGCAGAAACCATCCGCCGCAGGTGGCGGGCTGGGCGGGAATCCCTCCCTATACGAGGCTATGCTCGAGCTCACCATTCAAGTGACAAACACCGGCACACGCACAGGACAAGATGTGATCCAGGTCTATGTCTCCTTCCCAGAAGATGTCGCCGAGCACCGTGGACTGGGCTGGTCGCGCCAGTCGATTGAGTTCCCTGAGCGGGTCCTGCGGAATTTTTCCAAAGTCCTCCTGGAACCGGGTGAGACCAGAAATGTCAAGATGACACTGACTCGGAAGGACCTCAGCTTTTGGAGTGTTCGCGCGCAGAACTGGGTGTTGCCTACTGAAGGTAAATTCCGTATCTGGGCTGGGCGTAGTTCTAGGGATCTACCACTCGTGGTCGAGTTTTGATTCTTTGCAGGGACTTGGAATACTGTTGTACGTATCGACATCGCTCGGGTTATGGTGCTGGAGGTCTCCTCTAGATGCCACCATTTGAGGCAGGATTCGCGATTTCCTCTGTGTCTAGGCGATTAAAGAAAGTAACGAAGTAGCTGGAACAAATGGACCGTGGTAAATGATTATTCTAACGAGCAGGGCCATGTAGGGCTTGCAAAGTGCAACGAAGTCAAATAACGTATAAACTTTTGCTTTTGCTTTGACATGGTAGATGCACTAAGGTATCTATCGGAAACATGCACAATACTGGCGAAAACGGCATTTAACAAAATCTATACCGAAAAAAAAGAGAACAGAACGCCGAAACACCGTCTATCAGAACCAATGCAGACCCAAAACATTAACATGGTGCTCATGATGCGAGGATATAGTCGAAATCATTCGCTCCGCGATTACGAATCATATTGTTGGAGCACGTGGAAGCACGTCTATTCGTCGTCGGAGTCCACGGGCTTGGGGGTACCCTTGGGGGAGTTCAACTGGAAATTAAGTTAGTATACTGTGAAAAGTAAAGACATGAACATGAGAAACTCACCCATTCAATGTAGCGCAGACGACGGCGGGTCTCACGCTCCTTCTGCTGAGCACGGGTCATCTTCTTCTTCTTCTTGGCGCGGAACTTGAGGTCGCCTTCATCGCCAGAGTTAACGGCAGAAGGGGCGGCACTGGTAGCGGCCGAGCCAGTAGCGGGGGTGCCAGGGCCGGAAGGTGAGTTGGTAGCGCTGTCCTCGAAGCGGTCGAGACTGACGGCGTTGTTGGTACGGCTGACAACACGACCGTCCGCAATGTGCAGTTGCTCAGGGCAGAGAGCGCCCACGAACTCCTCGTTGTGAGAGATCATGACAACACCACCCTTGAAGTCACGGATGGCAACAGCGAGACCACCGAGCGAGTCACGATCCAAGAAGTTGGTCGGCTCGTCCAGGACCAGCAGATGGGGGTTGTTCCACATGGCACCAGCAAGCACGACCTTGACCTTCTGACCACCGGAAAGACCAGAGATCTCGTTGTGGTTGGCGATCTCGGGGTCCATACCGATGTCCTCGAAGTGCTTGGTGATGGTCTTGGGGTCGAGAACACGGAAGCCCAGACCTTCACGGGAAGCCTCGTGATCGTCGAACTCCTGAACCAGCTTGAAGAAACCGAGCTCGAGCAGAGTCTCACGCGAGATCATGGTGTTGTACTTGGGGAGAAGGCCAACCCACTTGACCTCATACTGGAAGGACTTCTTCCACTTTTGACGACCAATCAAGGTCTCGATGCGACGGGCACCGCGGCCGTCACCCAGGTCAACTGGCTTCTCCAGCTGGATCTTGTCCTCCTCAGTAAGAATACGGGTCTGTTTCATGAACACTTCACGATCGTCACCGTTGGCGTAACGCCACTGGAGATACTGGCTGGGAGTCTTCTCCAAATGCATCTCCACGTGCTCCAGAGCGTGCTGCTTGATGTAACCGATACGCAAGTTGGGGTGCTTCTCGACCTTTCCGGTCTGAGGAATGGTCTCACCAGTCAGAATCTTGATGAAAGTAGACTTGCCAGCACCGTTTCCACCAATGATAGCGACACGGGAGGAGAGGGTAAGCGACAGCGAGGCATCGTGCAGCGAGGGTCGGGGAGCGCCCGGATAGGTGTATGAGACGTTGCTCATGCGCATAATGGCACGAGTCATAGACTTGATACCGGACAAGATTCCGGGGGGAGGGAACTTGAACTGCACATTGGATGCGGACAGAGTGTAGTAACTCTTGCCCTCGGGCTTCTGCCGGACGAATTCAGCAAGGTTACCCTTGTAGCAGACAAGCTTCTTGCCCTCGTAGTGGTAGATATCAGTGCAGACTTCATCAAGGAAGCCAGAGTCGTGACTGACGATCAGACTGGTGATCTCAGTGTGCGACTTAAGGTACTCCTGCAGCCACTTGACGTTTGCCACATCCAAGTGGTTAGTAGGTTCGTCCAGCAGGAGCACATCAGCCTTTTGGAGCATAGCACGGGCCAAAGCCAGCTTCATCTTCCAACCACCGGACAGCGAGCCCACGGGCTGGGACTGGCGGCCCTCGGGGCCATCAGTGAAGCCGAACTCGAGGAGAACTTCGCGAATGTGGTCCTCGCCCTGAGCAACAATCTTGGGGTCCTTGGCAACGTACTCAAAGATCGTCAGGTTGGCATCTTCACCCTGGTTGTGCTCCACGAAGCAAGTGCGGACCACGTCCTGGGGCGGGAAGCCTTCCAGCTTCTCATTGGCGATACTGCGCATCAGCGTAGACTTGCCCGCACCATTGCGACCGCAGAGACCGTATCGGTGGCCCTTGAGGAGACGCAGGTTGGTGTGGGACAGCAAGAGCATGCCTCCATAAGCGAGAGAGAAGTCGGCGTTGACAATCTCAATGTCATTGGGGTCTTCTGGGATGGGCTTGCCGAACTTGATCTCATCCTCCGCAATGTAGTGAGACTGGACAGCAGTGGCAACAGCCTCTGTGTTGCCATCCGCAAGCAGACCGCGGAGGTATGGATCAATGCGGCCAGGGATACGGTCGTGCATGCGGCAGTTGACATCCTCGCGGACCATACCGGCAATGAAATTCTTGGCCAACTCCTGCAGCTTGGAGTCACCAAAGCCACCCAGACCACCGTGCTCCTGAATCTTTACATTCAGCACGGCCAGGACGTCCTCGGGGGTCGTCTTGGAGATGGAACCAGAAGCAAGATGACTGTCTCCCATGGCGGTCTCGATAACATCGAGAGCACGAGTGGCGAGTTCACGGACCTCGGGCAGGGAGGCAGTCTCCTTAACCGACTTCACACCGGGCTGGAGCTTGGGAAGGAAAGTACGAGCCTCGGCGGGATCGTGGACCAGCTTGGTCA